GCTTTCATATGCAAAAAGAAAAAGATTTTTTTTGTCATTGGAGGTGAATTGCCTGGTTACTTGATTGATAAGTTGACAGTTTCGTTGTGCACTTCAAACCTGTTGCACTGCTGCACGCGATCCATCCTCATGCAGTCACATGTGCAAATTGTCAGTGTTGCATTATGTCACCGTTTATTCTGTCGGTGGCTTACTCTTGTCACATACTATAGTAGCGATCAATTGGTTGTATTTTTTAATTTTTTAGAGGAGGAAGGAAGTTTGCCGGTTGCGCTGTAGCTATCCGACTTAAGATTCTGGTACTTGCATTGTGGCTATCGGTTGTGACAGGATTGAGATGATAAAGATAGGGAAAGAATAAGCCGCGTGCAGTATTTGTTCTGTGTGTTTTGCTAGCTGGTAATTGACTGGTCAGTGAAGCAAAGTGCACCGACTATCACTTTGCCCTACACTGCTGATATCAGCATCATTTTGCACTGTGCAAAATGAAGCAGGAGGGAACCATTGCTTGGCATTCTTTGTGGCTGATCGCACCAACCACTTTTCCAAGTTTTAATGGCGTTTCTCACATTCGCAACGCCGTGATGTAGGGTAGCACAACAAAGCTCCTCAAAACTCGTACTCTCTCAGAGCTCATCTTTGGGAGAATACTTCTTAAATTCATAAATAGGCCTTTCAGACCCTTGTCTCGCGCAGTTACGACCAAGCTACGACTGCTATACGTCCTTTTCGAAGCAGGGTTCGTTCATTGCATTGCCCGAGAAGTCCATGTTCTTGAAAGCTAACGACCGACATGTAAAGGGGGGGGAGCCTCGCTTTTGTTGTGTCAAAGAGTGATGCCACTGTGACCAATAAAAGTTGCTTTTTTTACCCATTTGAATTTCACCGTGTCTGTTGGCTTCGTGGTAGTCGTAGGCACTGGCCTCTCGCATGTGAAAAGCGGGCCATCTCTGTGATACAGTAAGTAGCATGCATATATGCTTTCTGCCTGATATGCACTGCTTGCACACTGCACCGGCAATGTTAAGTTGCATCACGAGTTGGCTTTTACTTTTGCTTCTAGGTCCTGCAGCGTAGAATTTCGAAGGGAAGTGTAGAATTGCTCAAAAGATGCGATGATGCGAGGGTGACGATTAACGCTGCACCTTTTTACCTCTCTTTTTCTCGTCTCTTAGCAGTCCGATTCCTTGTGCCATCCACCCAGTTCAGCATATTCTTACATTGCAGATTGATCATGTTCACGACTACAATATGTGAATTTGTAGCCTTGCTACTTTGTTAATGCATTCTTTTATTTTTGTTGAGATGCACTGCGATGATTTTTATTAACTTTTAGCCAGACACTCAGCACTCCTAATTGAGACACTTCAAGTTTGTACAAACTTCATTATACATTGACCCCTGAAGGAATGTTTTGGCTGTAGTGTGTGAAAGAAGGAAATAAAGAATAAAATAATAATGACTGATGGAGTTTAACGTCTAAAACCGACAATACGATTATGAGAGACGCCGAAGTGTAAAGTTAGGGAAGTTCTGACCACCTTAGGTTCTTTAACGGCCACCTCGATTTAAGTACACTGGCCTAGAGCCTTTTCGCCTACATTGAAAATATGGCCGCCACGACTGGGATTCGATCCTGCGACCTGAGCCACCCGAGCCACGCAACCTTAACACTACACCGCTGTGGTGGGTGAGAAAGGAAAGAAAATTGTTTAATGTAGGGGAATGATTGGGCCAGAGACAGGATTGCAGTACAGCGTTGTATTCACTAAACTTCCAAGAGTCTTGGCTTTGTGTGGCATTACGTGCTGCTATGTGACAGCTTCTATGTCGCATAGTAAGATAATGCTTGTACCTTCTGCACTTCACTAATATGATGTTATTTTCGCATGTGCCATGACAGTTGCCTTGCAAGACCACCACCCTACTGAAATTTTCTGTATGTTTTTCCAACACGTCCATATTTGGAGGATGTCCAAATCGCATGGGTTAAATTTAATTTCCATAACAATAGTGCTGACATGTGGAATGATTGTGGGGTGCATACTGACTGTTTTAATAGGGTGGGTCAAATGCATTTGAGCTACTCAATGCGCTTCGAGGGAGAAGTGTGCATTGCCATTATTATTGTTTGGCTCTCTTAGTTAACGCTTTGAGTGTTTTTGCTGTACATGTATGGCAGTATTTTCCTGTCCCACAGTGTCTTAGCTGTGTGGACGAATTTGCAATTGTCACTGGGAATTTTGAGCCATAATGTCGATGCATGCTCACTGGAAGGTGCCGCCATCTGCTGGGACTTGCAAGAAAAGTTGGGAATGATTATACTGTTTCCTTACAAAGATAAACAGAAGGGATTTCTAGCATTAGTGTGATCCTGGTCTATGGTAACGCCCTTTCGTGGTTCCGATTTTCCTGCATGATTGCAATGGAGGCACATGGAATTTGATTTTACTCTTTATCGGCACTCCCTTGCAAGGTTGGTAGAAGTTAACGTATGTCTCTGCTCGTATTGTTTTAAGCTTGCTTATCACGAACACTTGCAACGTATTCTCATTCTCCTTGATTACCTATGAGGGTGGCAATTTGGGCTTGTTCGTAAGGTAGCATGATGACTGATGTGTAGCGCCGATTAAGAAAATAGACAAAAGAGGGCACTTTCAAGACACCGCAGAACTAGTGGTGTCTTGAACATGCCCTCTTTTGTCCGTGTTCTTAGTCTGCGCTACTATCAATTATGTTGATTCCCGAGTTTACTCTTCCCAAGGCAGCCACTTGCAGAGAAGATGCTATGTATTTTTCAGCACAACATGTCGCTTCAAGATGAGAACAGAAACTTTTGTCGTGTGCAGATGGCGATAGGGTGCTGCGTGTAGACCCATGTTTCGAAACTACCTTTCGCTGAAGTACTGTGTGTTGCAGTTCTGAGTAATGCTGACACCATAAAACTTATTTTTTTTTTCAACAATTTTTTGCCGACGTTATATATTTCATGCATTTTAAAACCACAATAAATAATTTGGCTGTCTGAGAAACCTTTTTTCAGAAAAATTCGACATTCAGATTTAAAGCTTAGAGAGTCAATATAAAGTGCTTGAAATCAACATTGTCAGCTTAGTTTTATTAGAGATATTCAATCTCTAATGTCGTAGAGTACGTAGGCCTGTGTGCCCAGATTCGGATGCACGTTAAAGAACCCCAGGTGGTCGAAATTTCTGGAGTCCTCCACTACGGCGTCTCTCATAATCATATGGTGGTTTTAGGATATTAAACGCCACATATCAATCAATGAACGTCGTAGAGTACATGGAGTGGGGGAAAAAAAAGCTCCTTGGTTTGGCACATTGCAACAGATGCTACAAAAGGTGCGCACGTTGGCAGTATTTCACTCTTGTTGCACCCCAGTCTTTGGCTGCGATGATTCATTGCCAGAGCGGTAATGGCTGCTGGATACACCTGTTTGAAATGCACTCGCAACTTGTTTCACTGTGACCTAGCCACAAAAAGTAAATCACTGCTCGGGAGATTGCACGAATGCTATTTCCAGCAACACAGCTTTGAAATATATTTGCCATATCCAAAAATTTGTTATAAAAGTATATTTCTAATGCCATATTTATTCCAAGATTACACTTAATTTACTTTGTTATAACCGATATTTCGTTAAGTATGGGTTCGTTATATCGAGGTTTCAGTGTAGATGGAAAACAAGGGGAAGGAGGTTTCTGCACTTTTCAAATGCAGCGCACTTTGGGGGCCAAAACTGACCAAGATAAAAAAAAATAATGAAGAGCTGTCTAGCTACACATTATCTTTTCTTTTTTTGTGCGTGTGTGACAGCTGTGTTAAAAAACAGTGCTGTGTTTGCTGAAACGAAAAAGAAGTCCATGGAAGGTTAACCTTTTTCAAGTCTTGGCTGTATTGCATCATGTGTTGGAAACCTTTTCAACTTGAAGCCTCTCTGTGGGGCCTTATTTCCCTTTTTTTTTTTCAGGAGTGGCTGGCATAATATCACGCCTTTATTAGCTTGGTGTAGTATCTCATACATTAACATACAGTAGACTCTCAGTAAACGGAAATCTGTTAACACAGCTGTTGCTTAAACGGAACAACTGATTAGCAGCAATAAACATGGCTGACTATATTTTGCTCATGTACCAAGGGTCTGTTGCATTATGCATCGCAGGTTATACGGTAATATGAGACTGGAAGGAAAGTTAAAAAGCTGATTTGAGCTTTGTGTCCACATAAGAGCTTCAAAAGTTTCATATGATCGGCGTGTAGCAATCCTGTAGCGCCAGAATTTGCAGGCCAAGTAAGGAACTGCACTAATATCACTCGATATGGAGTACGAAGGCTAATGTGCCAATTCCCCTGTCAATTTCTTTGTTTATTTTTGTTGGTTAATAGTGCATTTCATGCAGTAGCTTCCTTGAAAGGAATAATGTCGTACACCACTTATCATTTGAAACAGAACCACGTTTAACCAGTACGAACCAGGACTTAGTATCTACTTCAACAGGCTGTCTTGTGTTCAGTCAACCAGGCCCATCGATATACTTATAACAATGTAAATTTCCAATTATCTCATTGCTGTAATTGTACTGCAATGTATGTAGCAGTGTGCATGCAGAAAAGTGGTAGACATTCCCAATGTCAAGTCGTTCAAGGAAACTACGACTGCACAACTTCTTTACAGGTTTACCTGAACAGTTCTGAATTGAATATTTGTGGTCACGTAAGCTTGTCTTCTGCACATTCCGACATGGTTTGATTCATCCAAACCTGCATATGAAAGCTAGGAAAGTGAGAAGAAGAAAATGCCAGTTAGGCTACGAGAACGCTCGCATTTTTCCGAACAACCGTATGATAAGGAAAATCTACAATACTGCATGTTTCTTCTGCCATCTCTAGTTTGCCTTCCCAGTGCATTGTAGTAAAAGCCAAGCCACGAATAGGCCATGTAGCAGCGCAGCTCTTGAAGGAAAGCTCTCTCCTTGCAGTAGGGGACGCGAACAACTCTGGCGAGGTACCTGACGAAGATGAGAGCATCGACGAAGACGCCTCATTACCGACGGAAGAGAACAAGGACGCCATACTGCAACTGCTGTCTACACTAAAGCTTGGCATGGACCTTACAAAGGCATGTGTGCCACTGAATGCCATCATAGAGCTTAAAGTCATGGAAATATTCTTGATTTCGCTGGAGCCAACATTTCAACACACTAAGCTGTCTTCATCAAGACTTGCATCAAGGCTAGGCTTGTGCGAATTCTGAAGTTTAGGTTCAACGTTAATTCAAAGCTAATAGTGATTTTGGTCCAATAATTTCAAATTTAATTCAAGTGGTGTGTATGACATATAAAAAAATGGGCATGGGCATATTTGTCATGACCTAACTAACCTTCACAATATTTTTTTAAATTTTTTAAAATTGAAACAAGGCCTTTGTGCAAATGCAATTTTTTTTTTGGTTTAAAGGAAGTCGAAACGATTTTGTATAGTAGCAAAATTTGACTTTTGGTGGAATGCAAGTGACAAGCTGTAAAATATGTAATTTACTGTAATTGAAGGACATAAGCCCATATAACAAGCTTTTAAGCTTACAAAAATGATGAATGGATTTGAGGATAATATGTTCATTTAACCTTAAAGTGGGGCTCCGCGGCAGTGTGGGCTTCTCGTGGAAAGGTGTTTCCATAGCTTAGCATTTCTTTACTGCAGTGAAACCACCTTTACAGGGGGGTTACATGCGGATTACTATACAATTATTTGTTCATTGCGAATGCTTTTAAATTTTCAAATATTTTAACTTTGAATCAAAGTGAATTTGAATACGATACTATTTGTTCAAATGTTCAAATCATTAGAATATTCGCGCAAGCCTAATCAAGGCCTTGGTGTCAAAGCATCGACATCAATACCTTTGTCAATAACACTTGCCTTGACGAAGACTTGTTGACTCATTAGTGTTGGTAACAATTCCTGTTTAAGGATCTTTTTGTCACTTCAAGCCTTAACCCAACCTGACCCTTAACTTCTGCCTTGCATGAAAAAAAATCACAGAGATTGGTTACATTGCCGTGCGTTCGATTTCGTCTAGCTTCACTGGGTCCATTCACAAAGTGTCATGCAGATTCATCTATGCACATAAATGGAAGAACGCGAGAATGGTTGTACGGGTGTAGCTGCACACTAATGGTCGTCACTTGGAGCCATGTCTTATATTGAGCTTGATTTCAAATAAAGCTTGAGCTTATTAGCAAGGTTTCATCATAAATGAAGTGACCAAATTAAGTGATACCAAAAACACTATATCACAGAGTGCTTGGTGTTTCCTTCCGACCAGTCTGGTGATTGTACTCATCGGTAGTTAAATGCAGACGTGCGTTTCTGGCAGAAATTTCCAAAATTCATCAAAGAGCCCCTCTCGCATTCTGGAAGGTGAATACTAAAACATGTTACAGGGGTAGCATAAACGCATGCACGGGATCAATGACGTACAATCGCAAAATTACAAAGTACAATCGCAAGGTTCTGAGTCTTTTCTTCATCTCAATGCCTTATTCACTGTTTTATTTGAACTACGGGGCATTCTTTCATTTCACGGATAGAAAATAAAGACAGAGCACGTAAAATAGCCTTTAAAAAAGGCTACTTGTTATAAAAAAAACAAAACATGCAATGTCTTTCCAAGTGGTGGAATGCAAAAGGTGCCCTTGCGGGATGAAAAAATAAATACTTTCACAATCTCAAATTAAAAAATGCTCAGACACACGCAGAGACATGACACGGGGCCTGTGATTCTTTGTTTTGTGACTGTGTTCTCTGCGTTACGTTGTGTTCTCATTTGAGCGTCAGCATAATCATCATTGTTACAATGAGCTGTCATCTCTCCTGTCCACGATTGATAGTATGTAGATTATACCTGAGGTACGTCGTGTCGTATGACTTACTGATGCAAACATATACAAACTCAGTGCTGCCCAAATTCTTCATTGTGCTCTCTCAGACAGAAAAAATGGGACATGTTTGGGACGGTCCACGGAAATTTCTTTTGCCTGGCTCTAGCGTAATGTTTTTCCGCTTTCCTCTGAATGTGCAGGTGGCACTTCCAAGCTATGTTCTAGAGCCCAGATCACTTCTTGAAGTGTACGCCGACTTCATGAGCTACCCTCACATGTTCCTGAGGTGAGCTGGAAATCTCAATTACCGCGAGTAACTTGTTCTTTGTCATTCTGGCGGACATCCATTATGCAACAGCACCTAATTGCTTTTGAGTATTGATAGTCCCTGCACCTCCCCTGCTTTCTTTTTTTTTGAGGGGGGGTGAGCGTCAAAAGTAAAGTCACAATATACCAACATGTTCAATCATGCACTATTACAGTGGTGTCTTGATTATACGACTTTCAGGGGACCACACAAAAAAAGCGTAGTATAATCCGGGTGTCGTATATTCGAAAAACTAAGATTATAGACTGACACTCAGTTCTACCTAAAAAGCAAATACAGACCGCCTGATAAGCCCACAGCACGACCTTGTGCCTCTGCAAGGAAGCTAGATTAAATTATTTTTGCCAGTGGCAGCTGATGACAGATTTATGTGGTTAGAGGACGTGCGAGCAAATCTTTATTCTCAACTTAAAAAAAAAATCGAATCACATGTGCATCTTTCTACCAATAAACAGAGTTCAAAAATTGCCTGAGCGTGAGAACGAAACTTAAACCGCGTTGCCAACAGCTTCTCATCAGAATAGTCAGAAACAGTGTCATCGCCATCACATAATGGTGACGGACCACGAATTTGCAAAGAATGCCTTCCTGCGCGACTAAGCTGTGCATGTTGCAATTTTTTGGCTTGTGAGGTTCAGCTGATGATGTCCCATTGTCGTTATGAACTTTGACGTCAAGTGAAAGTAATTTTTCATGGTGAAAACAGCTGCGTCGCGCCCTTATGCGTGCGCAAGCCTGTGACTGCGGGTGCGACTAAGGAAGGAGATCAGCTTTATGTTCACACAGAAAAGTTTCCACGGACCGAAAATGTAAAAATATCGGCTTTAATGCCAGCTGAAGCTAGTCTGTGTAGATAAGGCGTGACTAGGTAACGGCCCCGGAGACATACGCACACGATTGAGGTATATGTAGAAGCCCATGAACTTTCAGGAGAGCAAGTTTTCTATTCTAAAAAGACATCCCATATCTCTACTTTTCTACTTGTCAACCTAGGGATACGCAAGCTCACATTTTGCACTCGTGACTATTTGGACGACATTTGATTCGAGCAAAGGTGTTTTTTTTTATTTTGGGCAGAATCTTAAAGTCGTAAGATGTGTGGTTGGTGTAAAACTGCATCATGTAACCAAGGTTTTTAATATGCTAATTCGATGGGGATTTTGCCATTACCAAACCAACTAGTCGTAAAATGTGTGTTATCGCAAAACCAAGGGGCATTTAATCGAAGTTCCACTGTAGTTAGTGGCATGACCCTGTGAGCAGTCTAGATTTAGTAGTTATAGCAACTTAGTAAACTAATGCGTAGTGCATTCAAAGGTATAGAGTAGGAAAGATGAAAATTATAAAAAGAAGTTAGTGTTGACATGTAACTCATAAAAACATGCAGGAAATCTGGCACTAAAGCTTCGAAATTTTAACTTAAGCCTGCTTAAATTTTACAAGAGTCGTGCACACGGCACAAACTATTATTTACTATGTACTTCTAACACTTTTCAAAGCTCCTTCATAATCAGCATCTCATTTGGCATTTGGGCTGGATGAAACCCTAAAATTTTGTTCATGCTGTTGCCTGCCATGTTCTTCACTTCCGGCAATATCGTTTTTGGAGTCTATTAGTTTTAACGGTGAGGTAGGCCGTCAAGCTAACGCATGCTTCACAAAACCTATGTGGAGATCGACAGTGAGTTGATGTATTTTTGATAAGGCTCAATGTTTCTCTTGAGTAGCGCTTTTTAGATTTATCTTCACTGCTTGAGGTGCAGGTTATAGTTGTGGTGCATTTTTTTTTTTCTGGATACCAGTTTTCGGTGTTGATGCAGAATGTGTGTGTAATGCTTACGCAGGGTAGCGGATGGCGAAACACCTGAGGAGAGGCTGGTGATGGTTACAGAATGGCTGCTGTGTTCACTCTATGCAACACGCAAGGTAACGTTGTTGATAATGATAATGTCGGTTCAGTCTTTGAACTTTGATTAGGGGGTTAAGCAAATTTTATATACTAGTTTCATAGTTATCAATTATGACATACTTGTTTCTATATCAGCTAATCAAGTACTCCTTCGTCTACAGAATTTTGGCTCTACATGCTGCTTGGACTTGCCTCTGCCAAATTGGATGGGAATTAAAGAGGTGTGCCCATTAAATGCAAACACTAAGGCGCTGTGTTGGTCTTCACCCGGCAGTCACACTTGCTCAACTGTACTCGTGTGCCGCATTCTATGCATTTTTTGCTCTTTGTGGGCTTTATATATATCGCACGGCAGCAAGTTCGATCACTTTGTATATTCGAACAAATGTAACAGTATGCAATCTGCTTTGACATAAATTTAAATCGTTTGAAACTTTTAAGTGTTTGAAATGAACGAATTGGCATATATTAAGCTGCACGTCACCTGCCTGTACAGCTAGTGCCACTTTGGCGTACCGTATTTACATGATCGTAGGCCTACCCACTTTATCTTTAAAAGTGCATGGTTGCGAGCTTGTTGGTAAGGCTTGATTGATGCGAAATAACATGAAAAACGAGGACTCAAAAAGAAACGAACAAGAACAAGCACCTCGAAACAATTTGAAATCTGAAGTGTGGCGGCCAACTTACAATCGAAACCAAAACTAGAATTGCATTTGTAAGGCCGACTTCCAACTTGCCATTTCTTTTTTCTTTGACGACATGCTTCATGAAGACGTGAAGCTAGGTTTAAACTATGTTACAGCTAGAATTATCAGTGGTGAATGTGAACGTTTGAGATAAACCATCAAGTGACGTTTGGGTTCTTTCTTGAATGTAGTACCTGGTAATTGTTTTTGTAAGTACCAAAGCTGTGGCTCTTGTTTCTGTAATGATCCTCCTGATTTCCCATTCGTTTTTACTCATTATCCATTGCATTAACTAAGGCCAGTTTTGGTGACAGCAGCATTGTGATGATGTTTGAACCAGTTGGTGAAGATTGTGAAGAAGAGAAAAAAGAAAATTGTCGGTGAAGTAAAAGCTCCTGGGTCCCTCTTGTCTCGCATGTTATCTAAGGAAAGTAACTTATTACTAAGGGGATTGCGGACTTGAGAATCAAATCTGTGCTCCCCAAAGTGAGATGTCGAACCAATGATCCCAACAACGGACCATTTGGAAAGTCAACTATTTGCCGACATTTTGCAGAGCCGGTCTGCCAGAAAACCATACAACCCCGTGCTTGGCGAGATGTTTCACTGCTCTTGGCAAGTGGCCGGTGTCAGTGACGTCGGTACGCAAGTCACCTTTGTGGCGGAGCAGGTCTCCCATCACCCACCAGGTGCGTACGTGCTTAGAAAAAATGCGTGTGATCCGCTCTGTGCATGCAGGGGAACTAACCCAAGGGGGTTAGGCCAAATCCAAAGCTCCTCCACATCAGTCCCTCTTATAGCTGCTGTATTATCTTGAAGCGCTTAAACCAAACTCACTTGCTCTCTGAATCAATCAAATATCAATTAATCAATCTATCAATCAGTTAATGATCACACTAGTTGTAAAAACTAGGTGCGTAGGAATGCATTCATCATTTATCAGTACGACGACTCCATAAAGGCAATAAAGAAAAAACCAATGCAAGCACTTCTCCACAGAAGTGATCCAGCTCCATATTTTTTCAACAAACACGGAGAAAGACATGGCAGGACGGGCACTGCATTATGTTTCCCTGTGTACTCGGCATGTAAAATTTAGTCCTGAGTAACTTTCATGAACAAAAATATGCATTGTTTTGTCAAGCATTTGTGTTTCTTTATTCTTGTTTTTGTGTAGCTGTTTCGTAATCAATCATTTTATTTGTGTAGCTGTTTCATAATCAGTTAGTGCTATTGCACTGATTGATCATAAGTATAGCAGTCAACTGGTTAGTTGATCAATATTAATTTGCTAACTGATTGGTTGACTAACTGGCTGACTCATTCATCGATTCAGTGACTGGACGATTAAGCTGTCCAAAGGTTCAGTCGATTGGTGAATCGGTCTATTCACCGTCATTGGTTCAGTTTACCCACCTTCACTCATCAGTCAATACACCTGATAACAAGCCAACCATTTACTCAATCAGTGGTCCACTTTTTACTATAACGTTAAACATTAGTGACAGCAGTTTTATCAGTGTTTCTTGTCAAACATGCAGTTAGTGCCTTCTACGTGGAGTGCCTGGAGAAGCAGATGTGCCTTGAAGCATCACTTGGCATTAAATCTAACCTCATGGGAAATTACGTGGGGCTGCAGTTCATGGGTGAAGGCAAGTGTTCAGTGCAATATCCTTCATGTTCTCTGCTTTTTTTTTATCTGTTGAACAACTTGCCATGGTGGATTAGTTGCGATGGTGGTGTGCTGCTAAGCGCTACAACATCCAGCCCCTGCAACCGCACGTCCACTGCGGTGTGGGTCACCGGTGGGCCACTGGCTGTGCTCCTCCTTTGCCATGATGTGATGATCATGCATCTGCTTGCTGATGCAATAAATTTGTCAAACATGAACGCAGAGGTTCGATTCTTGTTGCAAGAGTTTATAAATAATCAGAAGAAATTTTTTCTGGTGTTAGATGCCATGACCCACTGATGACCCACCATTGGTTCACGGCGCACCTGGGAGATGTGCAGAGTGGCCCATCTGTGTTTCACTCCGCACATAAAACGAGACCTCAAGAAAGCTTGCCGCAACCAAGGTGTTAATAAAACCAAGTGCCCCCCCCCCCTCCCTCTTTTAAAAAACAGCTTCACAATGTGAGAACTGTAGAAACTGCGGAGTAGAGCTGAAAATTCGCCAGCCTGTGTTGACGTGTGACTTGTGTTTGTCTGAGTTAAAGCTATGGGTTTGCCTGTCTTTTTTTTTTCTTGTGCTCGACTTGCATCTGAGGTTTTTGAAGCTGAAGGTTACCTCGCATTCATTTAACTTCTTTTTATTACCTTGAACACCCCTCTAAGATGTGCTCACCGACAGTTCGCCTTTGCTTTGCTCCACCACAAATCTCTGCCTTAACCCCGGCACTGGCATATTGCTGTTGCTTCGGTGACTCTGAAAAATCAGCCCTTTGGCAGTGTTGGCGTTCATAGGGAAGTGTGGGCTGGCATTCCAAACATGCAACCTGTACTGTGTCAATAATGGTAAAGAAAACCTTCATTTTTGATGCAGTGACACCCTATCTTGACCTCTTTTGGGATTGAGTTGACCTGTAGCACCTTCTTTCGACCTACTATAGAGAGTTACACCAGGCGATGATACGAAATGACAGCCCAGGCCCCTTAAAGTGCTCGACACTTCAAATGCCTGTGTTCTGATAATTGGATGCATCCTAATTAAGTAAGCTTGTGTTGTTTACAACCATGGCATTTCTGATAATTGTATCATGTTTTTTATCTGTAAAGCAACAGTAATTTAATTTACTCTGTTTGACACAGAAGACCTGAGAAGGCTTATTTCAAATGAGAGCTTTTTGCAAACAAAGCGCTCTTGCAAACAATGCCCTCTTGTAGACAAAGCCCTGTTGCCAACAGAGCCCTCTTTTGCAAGTAAAACTCTCGCTGTCCTTTCAGTGGAGCTACGCCTGTTGAACTTGGGTGAAGTGTACAGTATTGGACTGCCCACCATGTATTGGCGGTCCTTGCTCAGCGAACCGTACATTGAGCTGGGTGGTCGAGTCACAGTTGCATGCGGTGATGCCGTTGCACCCATAACATTCCACACAAAGGTGAGTATTGTCATCATTCCTCGTAACTTGTCATCACCATCGTTTTGTCGGTTTATTTTCGCTAAACCAGAACAACCCCTTCGAAGCACGTGTCTCTGTTTATTTGCACTTTTCATCAGCTGACTCACAGGCATCAGTTTTGTACAAAGATGTTAGTTCCCCAAGTTATGTGCCTTGTCAGCCACATTTACTCACTGGCGTTCATTCTACTATATACTGGTATACGCACTGTTGAAATGAAACATCTGCAGATACCCTTTTGAATATCAGCCACTACTACAATGGATTAGTTTTAGGTACTTCTCCCAATTTGTGCAGATGGTTCGGCTTATCCAGATTAAAACATGACACAAGCAACTTAGAAGGTATCTGCTACTCAAGAATCAAAATTTTTACATAGCTATTTTTACATGCACGTTTTAAAGTAGGCAGTTTCATGAAGATTCATCAGATGCTGGATTAGTGACATTGTATGATTCTTCAGCCGTTCTTTCCTCAAAAAGTTTTTTAGCAGCACTTTATGCCGTAAACTTAGTGGTTACTGTAATGGGCTGATAAACCTAGTCAAGCCCAACATAGCTTTTCCTTCCGTTGGCGTCTGCTCTTTGAAGTGGTAAATAAATTGATTGATATATTGATTGATTGATTGATCGATCTTTGTATTTTACTTCTTGCCTATTTTAGCCGTTCTATGGAGGCAAGCTGCACTGTGTCTCTGGCGAAGTCAAATCTGCCACAGGTGAGATGGTGTGCAAGGTCTCGGGCGAGTGGGACACGAAACTGGAGCTGCAGTACACGGATGTGAGTTTTGTTGTGTCCGTGAAATTTCCTGAATTTGACTTTGTTTGAAAAAGAGTCTTAGCATCTTCACTTCCTGTCCATTCAATGACACACTTTGAAAGCCATTTCTTGGCTATTTATTGTACTTCAATGTGATCTCATCAACTGGAGCCTTAAATGATCACACAGTTATATTCCAATTAAGGGGGACATGAAGATAGCCGCAGATATATTTAACACGATAGTTTTTAAAAGCTCGTTTCGCAGAAATTCTGGCGTCGGCGTAGTTGGTTGTGAGTGAAAAAACGTCATCTTGTACGTAACAAAAAAAAAAAAGATGCAAATAAAACAAATGATAAAAATTTTCCGCAGATCTCACATACCGTGGAAATCAATGTTATGCGAAGCATATGCGTGTGAGCTGACTGTTTTATAATTTTTTTATTGAGCCATACGTTAACAAAATTCTGCTAACGATATGCACAAATGGACGCACAGACATACGTTGAACAGCCACATGTGTTTTATATCAATAGTTGTCTACAGTTGTGTAACGACGCCAACAGCAACATGGATATTAGTGATAGTGACAACAGAAGCGGTGAGCTGATATAAACCACTTCTGCTCGCGAGGATTGTAGCCTTGGACACTGCCATGTGAATAAACTTTAGCAGACGACACCTGACAATGATTGTGGCGGGTAAGCGAAAAGAAATGCTTGCATTTAAAAGAATGTGGCTGATCTCCCTTGTTAGGAATCGGTATAACACAAAAGTGAAACGTATCTTCACAGCGGTAGTTGAGCGTTTATTGTTCATTGTTCCGCCTCAAGGGCAAAGGTATGAATTCTACAGCTACTAATTGTGAAGTCTCGGGAAGAGCGTCAAGCCGCTGGAAACTTGCTGCGTGCACTTCAAGCAGAAAGCACGCACAAAATGAGCATACCCAGGATGAACGGGGAGTAACAACTGTCACAGCTTAACACTTAAAGCGTGCTGTTCAAACAAAAAGAAAGACGCATGAAATAAATGCGCAAGTATACACAGGATGAGCGTGACCAAGTGCCACAATTCTTGCTTCTTCGCCTGTGAGCAGCATGCTCCTTTTGTAAACACAGCCACGTCAGCAAGAGAAGTGACCTTTGACCTCTCCCGAATCACGAGTCTGATAAGCGCACGCACAGCAGAGACCACGCTTTGTGGAGGCGGCGCTTACCGAAACGCGAGAGGCGACGACATTAAGAGCGCACTCAAATGAAGCTCGTTGCGCCATCTCGCTCTTGAAGATGAAAACGGGCTGAAGTAATGGAGCTCCAAGGACCACCATATGCTGTATGGTGTGTATATATGGCTAGTTGTTAACAGGTTTGACAAAGTATGCTCCGTGGCTTAGTTGTTAGTGCCATGTGCTATGAATCTTGAGGTCTTTGGTTCAATGCCCCGTGACAGAACCTTTGTTTCACGTTTTTGAAGACGATTATTATGTTTAGAATACTTAATTGCAAAAATTTCGGTCTGTCTGTCTGTCAACCGAAACGGCTTAAGTTCAACCACTTCCTCAATGCTCATCAATCTTGATATGGTTCTGCGTTCATACTTGTGTGCATCGTCAATTAAAAGCGAATATTGCGTATCTGAGGTGCAATATCATTTCATCAATATTCTGTAGTGGGTTTCTTTATACTAGAAAAGACATACGTAAGTAATTATAAGAACTGTAGCGTTTATTGCGCTGCGCTGACAATGCTACGCTATGCACAAAAAGGGGGATGTTTTCTACGCTTTGTTAAGACGATACGGTGCTGTCACCTACCCGTGGCCTTGCATTCTACAAAATTAGGACCTCCGAGATTGCACGCGCATGCTGCCCGCTCGCTATATCAGAGGTGATCCCTTTTCAAGGTAACTGCCAGATGGCGCTCATGTCTCACACAGCACCTCCAGAATCCTATTCACCGGTTTTCTCGTGCAGAACATCAGATAAACGTTTTATTGATTCTCTCCAGATGGACGACCATCGTCTTTCGATGACATTTGCAGTCAAACATGCAGCAATGGGACCAATTTTTTTTTTCTCTGCGTTTTCTTATCATATATTTCATAACATCATATCCATGACGGAAATGCATCAGCGGAGCCGTGGTGAACTTCGGCATAAAACACTTTCGTGTTGAAAATTCTGGGTCTGAGTGGGGCAGTGTTACAGCAATGACAATATCATTAAATAGTGTATATACTCAAACCTCATTATAATTAAGTTTTATCTTACAAGAAATTAGGTTCGTTATATCTGTAAATTTGTTATAAAGGAATTTTTTAACACTATTTACTGCAAAACTATTTTTCATTTACTTCGTTATGACTGATTTTCCGTTATATCTGGGTTTGTTATATTGAGGTTTCAGCATAAATGCAAAGGTCCCCGTTCATATGGCTTTTCACTGTAGCATTATGCTGACTGTGTGTGCTCTCCTGGTCTCTCAGGGGCGCTCTAAGGAGTGGAACATCTCAGAATTGAAGCGGCAACCGAAGCGCTGTCGACCCATCGACTCTCAGGACAACTTCGAGTCACGGCGTCTGTGGCAGCCCGTCACCCAAGCGCTGCGCTCTGGGAATACAGTGCTGGCATCCCATCACAAGTGCCAGGTGAGGCACCGGGGCCAACTTGTAATTTGTCGTCATCATCACCAGCCTGACTATGCCCACCCAGGCGTAAAGGCCTCGCTCATGTTTTACCGATCAACTGGGTCCTGTGCTTGCTGCTGCCACTTTATGCCTGCAAAGTTCTTATGCCTGCCCAACTTTTTGCCTCCCCCGCACACCCTTGCTTTCTTTTGGAATCCTGTCTGTTACTCTTCATTAATAGTGGTTATCATGCTTGTTTTGGGTTGTAATGCCGAGCATCGTATGTCTCCATTTTTCTTGGAATCCTGTCTATATCATCTGTCTTTATCGATCGTCATCTCTGTTTTTTCTGCGCTACAGACTACAGATTTTATACATAAAGCCCGTGGATGTGAACCATTGGTTTTCAACATGCAAGCGGTTTTCAGATGCACTAATTGGCTGATGGAAGATTAATCCCTTCATTGACATATTTCACCTAAGTGTTATGGCCGTCTCGTTACTTGAGTATTATACTTAAAACTCATTTTATATATGGCAAAACAAGTTTGAATTTGTAGAGTTGGTATTTCTATCACATTGGGCCAGTGACATCACAATTTCAAAAGCTGTTTTATTCATTCTTACATATAGTTTTTTTGTTGAACATAATACTTGTACATCCCAGAAGTGCGCAGTACGGTGCCTGCTATGCTATAAATGCTTGTGCTGCTTTAACCTTTGAACATTCATTCGAGTCTTTTCTTTTCCTTTCGAATCCTTACTTTCAACAGATTGAAGAGAGATTGCATGAGCAGTCGTGTGGAAAGGGGGATCCTGAGCAAGGAGAGATGGCGCAGCAGACGCATGATGCCAAGGTGAGCTTTTCTAGTTTTAAGGACGGTAGTCTTTCTTGGGGACCTCCGACGCAAAAATTTTGGTCTGTCTGTCCATTTGTCTGTCTGTCTACCTTTAACGATACCGGGTACTCTAAATGACACCAGCCGATACCCCCAAATGGCCGACCCCATCTGCAGCGCCCACCAATATTGCTCAAGATTCAGCGTTCATACTTGTGTGATTCTCAATTAAAAAGCAAATATTTCGCATATCTGAGGCACCATAACAACACGAATATATTCTGTATGTGCGTATTTTACTAGAAAAGGCATACATAAGTAATTCTAATGACCGTTGCTTTTATCATGCTGCACTAACCATGCAACGCTTGCACGAAAAGGCAAGTGTTTCCAATGCTTTGCTAAGACGACACGGTGGTGGCACCTACCCATCGCCTTGCGTTCTACACGTTATCGCCTCTGAGACGGGCGCGCACGCCCGTCTCAAAGCCGCACGCTTCGTTTTCCAAGAAAACTGCCAGATAGCGCTCATGTCTCACATGTGACGTGACTTTATGCGCCCGTTCGCCTCCACTGCACGCCCGAGGCACTCTAACGTAGTGCCTCCGGAATACCATTCACCAATTTTCTTGCGCAGAACATCAAATAAACGTTTTGTTCCCTCTCTCCAGACGCAAGACTATCGTCTTTCGACGACATTTGCAGATTAACATGCAGATACGGGGCCAATTTTTATTTGAGAGCCGTCTGAATTCTTATGCAGTTATGCGGAGCAAACGGCATGAAGGTCTATGGACTAAGAGAACAGGGTAGTTATGCTCTTCGTCTGGAGTTATTTGCGTCTTTCGATCAGTGCACCTATATAAGAATGTCTCACCATAGAGCCAAAGTAGAATCTTTATTGAAGTCAATCTGGACATAAACGAGTACTCATGACTAGAGGCCGGATTTTCAGGCATTAAACAGGACGCGTTTCAGGTGTCAAACATGGGCGGACAAAACAACGTTATAGGCCTCCGACCTCCCAGATATAGGCACCATAAAGTATGGCATAAATGCAAATGATTTCAAGAGAAAGACATGCGCAACTTGTTATTTAGGACAGGAAAGCAAAAGATGCGTTGTTTATGATGGCACAAGCCAACCAGCAGTTGAACAAATATTATTCTTTATGCCGCACGGTTCACAGAAACTGTCTGTCCCATTATTTTGTAGTATGGTGAGTATGGTCCACTTTTGTATCAATACACTCCTGGGTGTGTCTCTTCCGCATGGCTGAGAAGGCTAGAGCAGGAGCAGATAAGCTGACCGCTAGGGGACCAGAAGGCAGGAGTGCCTCAAGTTGGCTTGGTCCAATTGCATAGGGCCAATTTGTCCCTTGGCAGTAAACACGTTATAAGGTATATTACAAAAGAAACGAAAGCTGCGAGCACACCACATTTTTCTTTCTTCCCTTTCTTTTGAATTTTCTTTCCCCTGAAAGCTCTCTGTGGTTTCGCACTTGGCTACCGCTCGCGCCATGTCAGCACAAATGGCGCATTCTAACTGGTGGGTCCCACTTCACTGCTGCTAGTGGTCATTGCCTAGAAGCAGCTTGAGCAGCAGGGCTAGGTTGAACGTCTAGACTTCCGAACAGTCAGTGTTGCCCGATAATGCGAATAAAGGTCTCAAACTGCACTCGAAAGCTAGGCTTGAGGCTAAGTAGTGTTTCTATAAGCACAGATTTCAAAAACGGGCATTTATAGGCACTTGTGGGCATTTAGGCACAAGATGAAAAATATGAATTTATAGGCTCCATAAAAATGCACAGTGCATCATTTCATCGTCTTTCTTAGTCAGTGTCTTTTTCGTGCACCACAAGTCATCACAATGTTTCACCACTAACAAGCCCATTCTTCTTTTCTTGCATCCTTTCAACCATAAAAGCCCTCGTTAACCCCTAATTGATGCTTGTACTATATATAAAATTGGCGCGATAGGAGTGCAAGGAACAAAAAAGGAATTTGCCGCAAATTTTGTCTCTACTCATGGCACAATGGCTAGCTGACTTGTCTATACCAATGATGTTGGTGTTTATACTGCATAACACCTGGCTGCAACAACTTACAGAACTCGTGAAAAAATTTTATAGGAGAGCAAAAGCACAGGGTGATATGTGGAATAAACTGTACTTAAATAAAAATAAATAAATACCATGCTTCTTCGTTATCTTAATATATTGGAAAGTTGGGCTTAAAAGCTGAAAAGTCAGAAATTTAATTCCGGGTTTTTACGTGCTGAAGGTGCAGTATGGTTATGAGAAGTGATATCAAAACTGTCAGTGAAAGGATTCTCAGTGGGCATAAGACTTTCACTCAAATGAAAAAAATAATACATAGTAATAATAACAACAACATCTAAAGAGTGCTGCTTCTTGGGTGAGTTGGAAATTCATAGTTTAATAGAATATTTGTGGCGCAACTCTGACAAGGAAAGAAAAGGAGGAGACAGGATATGGCGCCAGATACTGGTGCCTCTTTCCTTGTCGGAGTTGCGCCACAATGATTTTAATAAACGACACCTTCATTTTCCTTTTATTGGTTACCAAATATGTTTATGAAGACAACCAATTGTGGCTAATTTGGGGTCCCTGATAAAGAGTTAGTTACAAACGATTTCGTGGTATGCACAATGACATTGCCTACTGCAACGTAAAAATGAACCAGATGCTAATAGAATTGCTAAGAAAAAATGTATAGCATAAATTATGATACAAACTCTAGCAAGGCAGGGCCTTGTAGTCATATAATGTCATTGAAAGTATTAGATGCGTTCCATTAAAGATAGTATGGGCTGGAATAAATGTATTTTTTTATTCTTTATGGAGTGTTATATGCCGGTTGGAAGCTTATTTCAGGTTTTAGCTATTAACAACCTTACTGACGTACGTTGTGGCAGCCGCATGGCTTGTTAGGTCTTGATAAATTAAAAATCGCTATGCGCTGCTTCTCTTTGCCAATACCATAATTGAGGAAATAGGTGATTATAACTTCTTGTTGACATGCTTACATAGGACTCTTCTTTCCTGATATTCACACATTTCCCTAGTTACACCTTAAGTTACTATTTGAAAACATCTACTCAAGCATCAATATAACAAATACAGATATAACAAATTATTGGTTATAAGCAAGCAAGTGGAGAATAGCTTTGTCATTAATAGTGTAGCAAATATATGTATATAATGAAATTTTTTATATAATCAAGTGTTTTTGTGGCAGATGTGATTTCGTAATAATGAGGTGTGAGTGTATATTTTCTGTCTGTTTTCTTGATTCTTTAGCTTTTCCGACTTGAAGGAAATGTCTGGAAGTACAAGTACCCTCTGGGAAAACCAAGCTAGTCTTCACAAAACCTGCGGACGAAAGGGAATCACAGGGCATCCCGCACAGGTGCTACAGAACGATGAGAAGAGGCACTGCAGCAGGTCGTTGACAGCGACAAAACCGCGAGATGCTTCCTTGTAGGCAAACATCCAAACCTCCCCTGCACAGAGCAGCAGCGCTAACCCTTCGCAAGGATCAGGCCTGGCTGTCGAATTGCGGAGTGCGGAGTGGACTGCTCATTCAGAGTTGTTCGGGCTGCTTGTGTGACCACGGAGACGATGTCATCCGTTTCGCCATGTAAAAAAAGAAAGTGACGCTCTTTTTCCTTTAAAACTGCGTGATCACTGCAGGTATATTGTACAATAATAACACAGGAAAATGTGAGTATTGTAATATGACTATGTATTTTGAAAACGAAAATTTTTATTAAGAAAATAAATGAATAAAACAATTTTGCAACGAAAGAGCTATGCGTGGTATGTGTGAGTGTGCACAACACAATAAAAAATTACACCATCTCTTACCAAACGGAACAATGAGTACCATATGAAGCACTGCATGGGTTGACTTGAAGTTTCATTCATCATGGGCATCTTGCCCAATTTTCATGCGTCTTTTAAAACGTCCTTTTAACTGTTCTTTTTAGTAGGAAATGGTGTAATTTTTTTTAACAGCCAAGCCATTCTTGGTGGAGCCTTTCACGTCTGGGGACCGATGTAGATTGTTTAGTGGGATTTGCCCATAGAAAGTAGGTAAATCCCGCTCTTTCCTGCACTTCCACGGCACACAAGGGTTTCCAAGGGTTTAAGTTTGCTACAGGCTATGCCATGCAGCCAAGACACCCCAAAATCATGCCGTCTTCTTCAGTCTATCGGGTGCTAGGACAGTCTCTGAGCTTGTTTCTCTGTGTGCCTTCATGTGTAACAATATTTACTCAGCCTTGTGTCAACATGTAGAAATAGAGCGATGACGACTAAAATTATACTTTTTCTTTGCCTGGTGCACATGTCATGTTGCCCAAAGAGAACGAAACTGGCTAGGAGTTGTGTTTGTAAAACCATAAGCCTTTTACTTAAAGATCCTGCCTCCCTGTTCTTGGCCGATCCCCCTTTGTGGGTGTGCGCCAGAATAACAAGGATCATCATCATCATCAACGGCGGGTGGCGACTGGGCGGGCCTGAGGTTGTCTCTGCTGGTGTCTGAGTTGACCTCTGTGAGGCGGCGCCCGCAGCTGTCGCCACTGCGTCAGCAGCTAACGCACAGAGGGCCTCCGAAATTGCTGGACGCGAGAGTGAGTCGTCTTCTTTTCATACAAGGGCTCACTTGTGTCTTTGTTGGTACGATCGATGTATCCTAAGAATTTAGCGCACACTGGCGAAGACGAAGCAACACGAATGGGTACGCACACAAGTGCACGTACGTCACATTCGGGAACGACAGGGTCGAGAACTGCCATGTTTGTCAACATATGCGGCTGCCTCGAAGCGTAGTCCGCAGGAGCTTCTCAACGGCGAGATTTGGTCTTCGGCCGTGCTATCGGCGTCATCGCCATGACTTTTTCGCCATTTTCGAATGCAGAACAAGAAGTGGAGCTTCTGCTTTTAACAAGGCACATCCACGCGTTAGAATGTTTAGTTTTCCCGCGAAGATTGCAAATCACTGCGCGCGAATAAGGATGAAGGCGCCGTATCGCTTGGCTGGCGCACGCTAATCGGGAAAGCCTAAAGAAAGATAAATACATCCGTGCCTGCAGTCTTCACTTCATCACAGGTAAAGGTATTTTCGAGTTAAGTCCAGGTTTATCACACTTACTGACGTGATCGCGTCGCTTCTTTAGAATCCTACCAAAATTCTTAGTGATGACGACCTTTTTCCCTTGAATAACCATGTCTCGTGTTATATATGAGGTCCAACGGTGCAAAATATGTGAACCTGTCTTCTTTCATAGAACAATCAGGGAATTTAAGGCACGACGTGAACCCGGACAACATCCTTGTTCGCACGCACCGATTTGTAATAATCACGGAAAAACTAAATATTCTAGCGTGTAGCAGCGCCTTGCTTTTTGAAGCAGAAGTTCTATGTCTTGTTCTGCTTTCAAAAATGGCAGAAATAAGTCATGGTTAAGCCGGTAGCACGACCAAAGACCAGCTGCATATAACTGCTGAAAAACATGGCGGTTCTCGGTCATCTCGTTCCCGGATGTGACGTACGTGCAGCCTATGTATAGGAGTTGCAGGGCTACTCTTAAGTGGTACTAACACAAAATTTCGTGGCCGAGATAGTCGGTGGCTTCGTTTGCCGTGAACATTCGTATATCACCTGCAAAATATCAAAAGCGAATATAGCTTGGAAGCTATTTTAAATTAATTTTGAAGTTTGCGTGAGTGCTCGACTACATTGTGCCGATAGTTATAGCGCGAGAACACGACGACGACAAAGAGACAAAAAGGACATGAGCGCTCTTGTCTCTTTGTCGTCATTCTGTTCTCGCGCTATAACTATCGTCATGTCATACCAACTAGCCCAAACTGCTACACTTCTAAGTTCCATTGTGCCAGTGACATGGTGAAAATCCCCAAAGGGGACCCTTTTGGGCATACCTCATGCTTTGGAGACCCCCTAGTTCCTTCACGTCCCCATGCGTCACCATGCCGTTGTCAATAAAACAAGTTATGATGTTGTCATAGCCGCCATTTTTCTTTTGCCGCGTTTGTTCTCGCAGTCGGCGGCTGGAAACAAGTGCGCTGCCGTGGCACATGCTTTGAAACTTTCTGTTTGGCGACAATGTAGTCTCAGTAATTCTCGATGCGTACTGCGCGGAAATGTGTCACAGTTCTGTGTGTTGACGTAGTCGAGAGCTGCACACGCTAGGTGGCGATCGAGAGTTGCACCCGGTGGATTTTCGTTTTTAAAGCCCTCTCGACTGAAACTGGTCGATAATGATGGACCTGTAGTTATCTACCGCATGCTGCAGTGAACAATGTGTCGTGTCGTGACTAACAGGCCTTCAGCAACACATCGCGGCAGCAAAACACGTGACCAAACTTGTGTCAGTTAACGGTAGAGATATTATGAAACAGAATCGTTTTATGAAAGATAGGATGGCTTTGTATGGCTCTCCAAAGAGAAGACAGCTATGTGGTGGTAGCTCGTAGATATTAAAGACTGTTTGCTAAAGGATACTACCACTTGCATATTTCGAGCCTTTATCTCTCCGCTGAACTTTTCCGTAATATAAACATTTCATTCACCTCCTACGTTTATACCATTGTAAGCATCCCGGGATTCCATTTGTCAACACAGGAGCAGCAGAAACGACTTGAGCTCCCTACAGGCACCACTCTCTGATTGAGTACTAAATCAACCAATCGCTTGTGGCACCACTCCTCATCGTTCAAGATGGCCGCCCCACCACGTCCCCCCACGGGACCACAGCCTGGTGTCGCTACTACCGTGGGCGTTCGCCCTGGGGCAGCGTATCCTGTGCCGCCACCTGGTCACTCAGGAGCACCTCCTGCTGTTTTACCGCTAGGTCATCCAAGAGCGCCTCCTGCGTCTTTGCCACCAGGCCACCCAGGAGTGCCTCCTGCGTCTTTGCCACCGGGTTACCCTGGAGCGCCTCTTGCGTCTTTGCCACCGGGTCACCCTAGAGTGCCTCTTGCTCCCTTACCACCGAGTCACCCTAGAGTACCTCCAGCTGCTTTGCCACCAGGCCACCCGGGAGTGCCTCTGGCTGCTTTACCACCGGGTCTTCAAGGGGCGCCTCCGGGTTCTTTGCCACCAGGGCACCCAGGAGCGCCTCCTGCTTTTTTACCACCAGGTCACCCCGGAGCGCCTCCTGCTTCTTTACCACCAGTCCACCCAGATGCGCATTCACCACCTGAAACACCGCCGCTAGGCTCCGCACCACCAGGTAATCCAGAAGCGTCTTCACCTGCCTCAATGCAGCCAGCGCAGCCATTGCCGCATGCTGCCGTGTCACCGCCCACTGCTGCAGCACCACCGGCTCCAGCTGCTATGCTGCCACCTCCTGAACCTCAACCTGTTGCACCACGGGAACCTGCGCAGAATGCCCATCTTGCTGCACCAAAGCAGTACACTGCGCAGACGGCAGGACAGATACCCTGCACATGCGCGGTAGCAACGGTCAAGAGTGCGCCTTCCGACCCTTTGAAGAGAGAATACGTTACAGCTGTGAGGGCGTACGAGGAGCAAGTTGGCGCCAACATTGTGCGTGGCAAGATGTTTGTCGAGAGCTTGCCCATGAACCGCAGCGTTCCCCCCACGGGAATGTTACCCGGGATGGTTCGGGGAATGACACGACCAGGAATGGAGTGCGGCTATAATATGGCGATGGGAGCCGGTGGGCCTTGCCAAAACGGCCAACAGATGCCTATGGGTGGTGGCTTCAGAGCCTTTTCATTGAGCATACAGCGAAACCGTGAGGACTTCGAGAATATGATGAACTATAGCGGAGGAGTGGATTTCGCACGGATGGAGGAGATGGGACCCCAAGTTCGAAGGCTGCTGGATATGGGAAGCCAAATTGACCAAATAATGGACATGATCCGGAGGGCCGAGGGGTCCCCGATAATCATGGGATTGGATTCCGTTGGAGGATATAGAGGTCCCGCAGCGGGCTTCGGAGGGTCACCACCAATGATATCGGGTGGTGGTTTCGGGGTGCCGATGCCAGGCGGCTACGGGGGACCCATGATGCCACCTTACGGCACACCACCAATGATGATGGGTAGTGGTTTCGGCCTGCCGATGCCAGGTGGCTACGGCGGACCTATGATGCGACCTTACGGTGCACCAATGCCTGACATGACGAGCGCTTATAGCACGGAACGTTTCCTGGGAGGATATGAAAGGCCTGCTATGAATCCCCGGATGTCCGGTTCCACTGACTGGCGAAGAGACGATCCGAGGGAACTCGGAAGGCGAACAATGTCGAGGGAGAGCACCAGGCCTCCGAGGGACGAATACACCGAGGACAGCAGGCTGCTTCCCAAGCAGTCTATGAGCAGGGCTTCAGACTTGCTACAGAAAATTAAGGAGGAAATCGACGAGCATCGCGCCGAGACAGTGCTCGAGAAGATTCGCAGAGACGTCGTGACGATGGACGATGAAGATGACGTAGGCCGTGGAACTACAGCGAGGAGAATCAGTATATCCCCGGAAATGGGTAAAACGACTTCACGCACCTCCATGAGATCATGCGACGACTGGGACTACAGGGAGAGGAGGTCGCCGAGACCGATGCGAAGAACCTCGCGACACCATAAGTCCTCATTGTCTTCCTCTTCATCCGCTTCGTCTCATGGCAAGCCTCTCAAACAGCGTTTGCACAAGTCCAAGGACAGCAAAGGCAAACGCCGCAAGTCCCAAGGAAAGAAGAGGAGGGGGTCTGCACCCGCTAAGAACGGCTCCTCAGCGTTGTCTTCGTCCTCTTCGTCCTCTTCATCTGGTCGACGCTCACCCCGGAACAAAGGCGACAAGTCCATCAAGTTCATCAGGCAGGTGACCGAGCGGCTTAGCTCGGAGTCATCCGCCGACGAAGACCCCGTGGCAGTCATGAACGAATTCCACCAGAAGTACTTGCTGATCGCGCGACCAGAAAGCTGCGCCGCGATAAACGAGCCCGAGCTTCGCAGGTCGGGCTGTCCCTTTCTCAAGGCGGTGGGCATCGGCTCTAGGGAGAAAGGTGCAATGCGGACACAGTCGAGGGCCTTTGGAGGCAGCGTGTTAAATTACAGGACAGATAGACAGCCATAGTAGATGTCGGCTGACGGCGTGTTGAACCGGCATTATAGAGCCAGCCCACAGGTTTGGCAACAGAGTCCAAGAACAAAATAAAAGGCGTGTATTTGTTATCGCAAATATAGTATGTACAAATACGACTTGCTGCGGTGAAGCGAATGCTTTAATGACCGTGATCCGTGCTTGCATGTGCAATTTACTAAACGCTAACTATGTTTACTTTGCGGTGACGCTATTCGGGCCATTGTTGAAATTCAGCGAATAAGTCTCCATCTTGTCAACACCAATTACCAATAAAATTGCTGGGGTGCCTATTCACGGTGCAATATGTTTCATTATATATATATATATATATATATATATATATATATATATATATATATATATATATATATATGTATATATATATATGGCAGACTTTGTAAGAATATAATATTGGTTTCATGGGAGTAGAAGATGCATAGGTTCCAGCTGGCAATGTATTGTGTTTAAGAAAGCCAGCAATTCGATATGTAAATCAGTACAGTTATATGTATATCCTGTATCATTTCAATTTAATAAAGGCATAACGAGTACGTTTTAATTTGTTCCCTATCTAACGCGTTTAAACCACGATGTTGAACACCGCAAGCGTGTACCTGAAAAGAAAACGGCATAGGTGCCAACACACGACAGGAACATACATGTACAGTGGGTTATGAAGATAACGTTGTAGATGTTCAATCGAATTGAAACCCATCACTGGACTGTGGTCTTGTCTCTGGATCACTGTACTGTCATCCTCGATCACTCTCAGATAAAGCTGGCGTAGTAACGAGTAGCATTAAAAATCAATCTTCTCAATCGCTCTCAACAGCAAGCAACAATTTCATTCATTGTGGGACAGAACTGGGTAGGCAGTGGAGTGAGACGGAGGCGTACTGGAGTCGGCCACGCAAATGTGATGGTGGACACACGCGCCCACACACGTTTAGAATCGCACCCACGTAGGCATGGCGGGTGTTCAGGAGCTAGCTCACACAAAGGTGCCCATGGTAAAAAGAAAATACAAATTCATTTCTTGTCTTCAGAGCCTGCATGTTTGTCAAGCAGAATTACTTACAATTGTCATACGTATATCTTTAACCCTATCTCATTCTGACAGAGAATAAAAGTATTTCATTCTACTGCCTCAAGACAACGGAGTCTCCTTTGCTTGGTATGACTACCAGGTCACAACGAATATGCGGGTGCACTCGCTGAACTGTCACACCATGAACACTACAAGAATGAACCATGGCAGGGGAACGAATTTCGTGCGGATGGCCTAGATGGGACCCCAAGTTCGGAAGCTGTAGAATATGGGAATCTAGATTGACCATATAATGAACATAACGGAGGTCACTCTACGGGCTTTGGAAGGCCACCACCAGTATTTCACCGATATTTCTGAAGCCCATATATCTTTATATTTTTAAATAATTCATCGCAAAGCACAGTTGATCTGATGATATTCTTCCATCTTCATTTAAACTGTGCGTGAACACCTTTTCTCTGCAATAAAATTAGAAGTTTAGCGCAAACTGGGAAGTTACTACCACTTTAGTGAATAATGGTGTTGGCTGCGGCTGGTGTGGCTTCAAACATGCTGTTTCACAAATATTCTGCGAAAGACTGCATTGTTATATGCGCGGCCTCACTAATGTTTGATTGTTATTGTGCTTACTATCGAGTGTGCCTAATTTCTGCAATTTAGAACCTTGCATATACAGGATGTTCAAAATTAAACTTTATAATTTTCTTAAAATTCAGCACTGAAATTGGAGGCACATAAAAACCACCTAGCTCTTTGCAAATGTTGTGTATCAAGGGAGACACACGGTTAGACTAACTATTGCCGTCAGCCGCGCAATCACCTAATATAAGTAACGATCGAGCAGCAGCGGGCATACTTGTATTGAAAAGTTGGAGGCAGTCATGTTTCTTCACAGTTACGGCTAGGTCCAACAGTAAATTGTCCCCAACAGCCTCCGGATCTATAAATAAATTTTTTTCGTACCGTATACCATACCATATACTTGAAAATGATTCTTTAAGCATGGATGTGCTCTGAGACATCACGCTGAAAACTTTAATTGTGGTTTGCATGATTGCACATGCAAAACAGCCAGGTACATGGGGTGCCATATATGGGCCCGGGCACGCCCAGAAATTCCGATGGACGAAGTTGTTTTGCGAAAAGTAATAAAAATATTTTTGTTAATAGTCGAGGTTATCAGCTAGTACCCCTCCCATCGCCCGCGAATAAACTTCCTGGCTACGGCATTATTGCGGTCAGCACTGCAGCACAAAGCTCCTCCTTGATATGTGCCGCGGCAGTTGCAATCGGGGTTTAACCTGACATTTCGATGCGATATGCAAATAAAGTGATAATGCGGCTATACCATTTTGCGACCGGCTGGCGATAGCAAGCAATCATTGCTCGTATCGAGGAGGATCCGCTCCGCCTTGCAGGCGTATTCCCCATAATAACGTCCTGCGGTTCTTTTATCCATGAATCAAACAGAAACGAACAAGTAGCATTTTATTACGCCTCTTGATGCAAGGAGAGTTTTTTATTTAGTGAACTAGTTCAATTACTAGTGCTTGATTGTAGGAGGTTCGTGTGACGTCATTTTGAGAATGTCCTATCGTGTCCACGTGCATTCACCTTAAAGGGGCCCTGCAAAACTTTTTAAGCATGGTCAGAAAACGCTGCCGATCGGTAGTAGAGGCTCCCGACAACACGCGAGCCAAATGTTATAGCTCAGCACGTGGCCTGGACTTCACAATAAATCATCAAAGTCACCTAAAAATTGTTTTCTCTTTTCTCGACAAATCACGGAATATGCCCAAAAATCGCACGTAGCAAGCCCATCTGTCAGCCATTGGCTGATTCGAACATTGCGCGCTCACTCGTTACAGAGATCACCGTGGGAGGCCGCTACTTGTTTACGCGCGCGCGCGCGATCACACACACAAAAAAAGCCACGCATTCGAAAAAAAAAGAAGAGAAAAAGTTGATGATTGATATGTAGAATTTAACGTCCCAAAACCACCATATGATTATGAGAAACGTCGTAGTGAAGTGCTCCGGAGATTTCGACTACCTGAGTACGTGCACCCAAATCTAAGCACACGGGCCTACATTTCCGCCTCCATTGGAAATGCAGCCGCCGCAGCCGGGATTCGATCCCGTGACCTGCGGGTCAGCAGCCGAGTAGCGTAGGCGCGCGTGACGTTTTTCTATGGCGCTACCATCCCTCCCTGCTTAGCTTCCAGCGCTTTCGTCGGGACTAGAGAAGAGAGAATGCAATTGCCATAGAGTTTCATGCAGTAATACCTGAATTGCAACACGCGACAAACCTTTGTAACTCCACTCGCCCTGGAGGGATTCTTAAAATTTTGCGGCGTTGAATTCGTGAGGCAATAAGCTCTTCCAGTGAATTCATTGCATGGCTACTTGAAGAAGTGTTTCAGGGCCCGTTTAATTTCTCTGTAAGTAGGGCACTGCTGTTGATAGTACTGTCGTTTTAGAGCTTGTTGTCCATTGAACTTTCACTTTTACGCAAAATGTTATTTGAATTTGATGTCGCTTTAATTCTGAACGCTGAGGTTCACAGATCATTCGTATTTTTTGCACATTGAAAAGCAACTTCCGTAACTGGAAATCAAACCAGCGAACTTATGCGCAGGAACGCCATAAGCATGGAGCTCATATGGCCACAAAGGTAAAACTGGGCAAAACAAACCTTCCGAGGCAAAACCGTTACCTAGTAAGGGTGGCTAGACCCTAAACTGGTGATGGTTATAGCGCGAGAACAGAACGACGACAAAGAGACAAGAAGAAGGAGTCTTGTCTCTTCGTCGTCGTTCTGTTCTCGCGCTATAACTATTGTCACGTAATACCAACTAGCCAAAACTGCCACACCCCTACCTGCTTTCGGGTTAGCCATGTCAATTGGCCATGTTTACAGTTAGCAAAGGTGGCATCGCCATCGCTGGCAGTTCAATATGTCGCTGCGGCTGATCTTCGTGCATCGGTGGTGATCGCAACAAGTTTGACCGAAAAGCGTCTTGGTTCGACGAAGTTTTTCTTCGTGTTTTCGGCCGTCGTGTGCAGTCATGAAGGCAACCGCCTTCGGGTGGAAGCGTAAGGCGAGCGGAAAAGTGGCGACGGTCCTGGCAGCCGCATTTGCAGAGAACTGCGCGGACGAAAACGCCGATCCTCCCGAAGGCGTAGACTGGTTAAGCGGCTACAAGCGTCGCAGGAACCTGCTGTTGGAAGACTGCGCTCAAAAGAGTCGTCGCCTTCGGCAAGAAGGGACGACACTGGCGGAACTCGACAGGTTTGTCCCGATTTGGTGATATTAAGCGGTTTCACGTAGCAGCGCCCGAGAGAGAGCTAGGACACAGCGCTAACTCACAACTAATAGTTTCATTTTGCGATCACACGTGCTATTTATGCCAAGGCGGTGGGCCGATAAGGCCAAGTAGACTACAAATAAAGATAGTGTGCAGAACACCCACGTGACATGTCATCACTGACGTATTGCGCTGCTCCTTATGATGAATCCCGACCAACCAGCCCAGCAACGTGTCCTTGCCAAAATCTCAGGTTACTGGTCAACGGAGCTGCAATAATGAGTGCACACACTGTATAAGCTACAAACATTAATTACTTCAAGTTTATCACACCGACAACCTGCAGTGGTTTTGCGCGTTACAGAAATGCGCTGCCTGCTTCGCGTAACAAATGCTTGGTTTTCGGGAGAGTTACGTTCGACCTTACTGGCAATCGAGTGCTCGAAATCCTCTTTTAATAAGTCAGTTAATTGATCGAAATTTGCAGTTACGTGTGACGCGACTGGTGGATTGTTTAACTCTGGTTTGCTTTGACAATATCCCGCAGGTCGCGGGAATGAATCCCGACTGCGGCGGCTGCATTTCTGACGGAGGCGGAAATGTTGTAGGCCCGTGTACTCAGATTTGGGTGCACGTCAAAGAACACCAGGTAGTCGAAATTTCCGGAGCCCTCCATTACGGCGTCTCTCATAATCATATGGTGGTTTTGGGACGTTAAACCCCACATGTCAATCATCAAACAAGCTTTGACAATATTGAGTTCTGAGGCTCCTACAGGCTCTGATATTGCATGAACAAACAACACGTACTAGTAGTTGCATTGTATCAGAAACTGAGAGATTATTGCCACTGGGTACTTCAAAAATTTTTTACTATGTTGTATCTCAAGATGTAGGTCGCCAAATTGGGCATCCCGCGTAGTTTTTTTTTTTTTTTGTGGAATGCACCCACGGCGTTAAGTTGTAAGTTAGGAGATTTGGCTTGAAACCAAAGTTATAGTATCTCTGCGTGATTGTAACCATTTCAGGTGCTGGGAAGCTCTGAAGAAATTTGATGAAGCGCTCCAGCTCACACCTGGTGATGTCGAAATTCACGAGATGAGGGCTCAGGTGAGTGATCAATCTTAAAAAATAAGTGTGTCTTATACCGTAGTCAACTTTTCAGCAGCTTTGTCAGAAACAATGCGCAATAGTGTCTTTAAGTAAACGTAGGAGTTTTATTATTAGATTCTCAGGTCGGTTTCCTGGGTATAAATCTTATTTTCTGAAAATAGCGTGCATACCTACACAAGAGTGCTTGCGTTCGATGCATGGACATGATTGACAACTGTCTTACGCATGTGTGTTGTTCGCATACATTGAACGTCTGTGTGCCCAATTTTGAAGCTGTTCATTATTTCGCATATGTGTAATGCAAAGGGACACACTGTTCGCTCGCATCAGAATCGCATGGAGCATTTGTGAATTTGTCGCAGTTGGCATCAAGCGATTTGCCGTGCACAAGCCACAATTGTTGTCTTGGCATAAAATTAAACCTGAAACAGCAGCAAGCATTCGCAATAATATACTATTGACCAGTGCACACACCCTGTTTGGCAGCTCTGCATGATTTCCATATTGTGCGGTAATTTTGCTTCCATTCTAGTTGTGATATTTGAAAGGAAGAAAATCAATATAGAACGCAGCAAAAGTGAAACGACCAGAAGGGCTTGGCACACCCACGCTGACTGTCATTATCAAGATAAAAGATCTAGCGCAGAAGCGAAAAAAAAAAAAAAAACACTCTACAGTGGTAATGCATATTGCAGTCAAATTGGATGCGCACGCCTGTCACCGATGATGGTGTTTCATTTGATGCTAATAGTTCATGCATGTGAAAAAGCTTGATAGAATGGAAAACAGTGGTTAGACGCAAGAGAGACAGTGCATTGTGATGAACAGATTACTCTCCAAGTTTCATTTTTTTTAACATTGTTGTCCAGAAGCTAAACCATGCTGGCACAGAGCTGTTTACGTCCCACTTGAAGCCATTGAATAAGTCTGTCAAAGAAGGCGCTTTGTGTGACTTACACTTGTGCAAAGAGAATTGACTGTCAATAAGAGCGAGGTACATTGGTTGAGGTGCTGACCATATTTTGTACATATCATTGAATTATACATATTGTTGCTTATGGTAACTCAAACCTGGACCTAAGGAAATATTGGTTATAATGAATTAAATGAAAAATAGTTTTGCTATAGGATATAGTGTTAGGAATTTACCTTTCTAATGCATTTTTGAATATAATAAACCCATTTTCTTGTAAGATGCAACTTTGTTATAATGAGGTTTGAGTGTGTTTCGAAAAAAAAATGACAAACAACAGTACAAGGCAATAAGGCAGCGTTTGATCTTTAGGTGCTGATGCTGCTGCGAGAAGACTTTGCAGCTGTTCAGGAGGCAGAGCAAGTTGTCAAGCTTGATCCCTTGTGGTGGGTCGCACACCAGACCCTTGGACGAGCGCAGCTACAGTTGGGCGAGATTCAAATGGCAAGATTGCTTTTTTTGCTTGTATCACCTTCTTTTTTTTTTTTTTTTTGAACAATAGCTTTCAGCTTTTTCAGGCTCCACTTAGAAAAACTGTCTGTGAATGCTTAAAAGTTGCACAGCATCATTTCGAGGTACTCAGTCTTCTATTTCAACAAAAACAATCTCTTATAATGTGTATCTGTATATTTTGTACTAATTATATTCAGTCAAATTTTAATTGAATATGCAGTTAGCTTGAAGAGATTCACATTCTGTTTTTACATGTACAGAATCCAAACTTGGGCTGGGTACATTGTGCAATTTGTTTTTTCAATTATATTTTGAGTAAAGAAAAAATGATACTGTTTATGTGGCTTGTGAAAAGCGGCATGTTTGAATGAATCACTGAACGTGGTAGTGCCTTCAGAAATGTGATCATGTGTAGACTGCGAAATTCAGTTAACTAAAGGCACATTTATTACACTGGTTCAGTTAATCCAAACCTCAATGTATCGCGCTCTTTTTTAGCTGCTAGTTGATGCAGCTAGCTAGTACAAGCATACAAACAAAGAGTGTTGAAGGGTTAATGCTTGTATGTGTTGTGTATGGCCCTATAGATTCACGAATGAGCACATACCATAGAGCGAGACTTCGAACTTGTGCGAGTGCACATAGCTTCTAGGTTTGTACGTATTAATCAGTTCTATGAAGGCTAGAGGGACCCGTCTCAGTACTACATGAAGCCAAGAAAAAGCATGGGGTGGATGGTATTTGTAGAATTTTCAATGTTCAGGTGTAGTAATTGTATAGTAAAGGAAACTGAAGGTTCACGGAAATGAACGTACCAACAATGGACTCGGAACACTACCTTTACAATTGGCAAAGCTTGTGGGCTCGATTCTCTTCCTTCTCTCATTAATTTAATAGGCACACAAAGATAGCATGCTCAACGAAAAAGAAAGATGTAAATTGAAGTGTGCATAATTTACAGTAATGTGGCATTGTGTCACGAATTTTTGTGAAGGAAAATATTATGTGATTAGTGTTATGTGAAAGGTGTTGAAGGCGCGAACCGTTTTACCTCTAGGTGTGCCGAGCAACACTTCTCTGCAGGCAGCAACTGACAGAACACCGCTTGTGGTTTCAGCCGTAACTAATTTAGCATATTGGCAGCACATAGGTGCACAGATGACATGCAGCATGACATAACTTCGTTTTTTCAAAAGGGTACCGGCACAAAAATTTCGGCATCACATTTTTTTTGCTGAAATGTGTTTATAGATGTCGCAGAGCAGAAATCGGTGCTCTGTAAAGCAGTGATACTTCTGTGATTGTGGCATTTGTGTCGTTCTTATAGTATTCCTCTTGCCAACTGGGAGCATTAGGTTTACGGTTTGTATGCAGTTATGGACTGTACAAGCAGACTATTCTTTAGTTTAAATGTATCCTACTTACTAGGAGCGCAATAACGTTTGGTCATCCCTAGGCACTGCGAAGTTTCTGCTCTGCGGTCCACCTCAATCCCGCGGACGAAGAGCTTCGTACGGAGGACCTCCTTTACACTTCGCAGCTTCTGAGAAAAAAACTGGTTGCGGAAGAGACTGCGAAGGAGACCCCAGTCTGCTTTGACGAAGATGGCAACGTAGTCGAGGTGCAAGAAACCGAAACTCCTAAACCCGAACTCGTTCGTTGTCGAGAGATCAGGTGACAGAAGTGTACAGGTCCAGAGGGTGCTGGATCTGCGTTGTGAGAAAGACGGCAGGTGGTCAAGGTGTGGTGTTCTCTTAATGAAGCCGGTGTGCTTTGAGGACTCAGTCTGAGAGAAAAGAGCCGAGTCGCCATGCTTTTGGCTTGGACTTTCAACTTGGTGCATTGTGGACTTTGCAGAAAGTGTTGCATGTTCGTACCTGTAGCAGTGAGGTACTGATGTACCATGCTGGGACTATTCACCTGCAACTGTCTCGAAAGACGATCCTTCGGTTAATAATAAAATTCTTGTTCATGCTTGGTGTTGTGCTCTTCATTCCACATTCATTGTCATACTTTAGTGAAGGTTTAGTTATACTGGTGGTAGTTATCACAAGTGGTGGCAGCAACTTCACTCAAACCTCATAACAAATCTGTATCTTAATGAAAATAAGTTCGTTATATCTGAAAATTAGTCATGTAGGTTTATTTTTACCACTATATTTATTGCAACAATATATTTCATTAATTTTGTTATAACCGATATTTCGTTATATCCGGTTTTGTTATAACGAGGTTTGAGTTATATCATTAGTATGACATGTTGAAGCTCTGCCGCTAAGCAACGTGTACTAGCGGCTAACCAAATGGCCATGACATATCTTGTCTACTAGGAGAAAAGGAGTAGCCGGTGCCACCATAATGGCACCAACGTCTTCGATTTGATCATTTTAATAAAAAAGATGAAGGACACATACCTTTGCAACAACACTGTGTAACAGCAATTTGTTTGCTTGAATCTACAATGAAGCTTCAGTTTTGCTAGCTTTGTTATACTCTTGGGTTGATGAAAACCTTTTCATTTAAGAAGCGATACTTCATATTGTGAGCTTCTGCAAAAGTGGTTAGATTTGTGAGTTTGTGCATAGCAAACTAGATCAATTAGCATAAAATGACCTTGGTATCTAGCAGGAAAGGTGTTGGCTGGTGCTAGAAGGACAACAGAATAAATGACTCCAAGGAGCTGTATTCGTTGAGAAACACGCAAGTTCATACGAGCTAAATGAGACGTTCATTGTGCCTCTAACAGCCTTGTACGATAAAAGCACTCGGCAAAATCAATGCTTCGACGTCTTTAATCTGATTTGCTTCTACACTTAGCATTCTGGTTTTGAGCAAGAGGATTTTTTTTTTTTTCACATTGCTACAATGACCCTTCTCACTAGGTCTTCCAGGAGGAAGCAGACCTCATGCAATACAGCCATATCACAATTTTGATTCCTCCACCTTGACAAAGGGAGAGAAAGAAAACGAATGAAACAAAAGCTTTTCTAAAGTACCGACAAATCTCAACAACCTGTTATTCGGACAATCTGGAAGCAGTTTTCATTACAAATTACACATTTCCTAAACTGCTGTAGCAATTTGCATGAAACAAATGCCCTAAAATGTACGATGCATTTGAAGCAAGAAAAGAGAGAAAGCTATCGCTGGTTTACGACACTAATTTGTACGGCAGCACAATGTAGACCAACAGCAGCAACTCCTGCACAACCTGCTGCAAGTTTGCTCATTTTCTGCACCACAGACAGCACACACACAAACACTTCCAGGGTTGCTGCTTCAATGCAACCACTGAATTTTGTGCAAACAAAAGTTGATAACAACAAAATAAGACCTCTTCATTGCTTTCAAGCAGTTTCAGTGACCAGGGCTACCAACATGGCTTATGTGTACAGTGCAGAGTGTCTTTTAAAGGAACCGACAACCGATTTTTGTCGGCCCCTTTTTTATGACGTGACAGAAAGCTCACCCTTTGTAGTGTTTGTGGCTGCAGTAGTTAAAGCCAAAAGCACTTAGTTATTTGACAATTAGTGTTTTTCAATCTGAAAGGCTCTGAACAGACCCTTCCACCAGTAAAACCGATAATTGATTGCGGTGCTGCTACTCCTTCTCGCAATGTGTAGAAACTGTTGTCATTTTGCTTTCACAGGAGTTTCTCTTACTATGCATAACCACCAATATTTTGAGCTTGTCAACTACGTTTAAAAATAAGCTGTTGCAATGAGATGACGAGGCATTATACAACTTTCCTGTATTTGTACTGCGTTCTGCGCGCTCGCACCCAAGCTTTGCCTGTGTCATGGATGGCTTGTCCTGGCATTGCTACTCCTGTCACGCGAGCCAAGCCGTCACCAAAAACGTCACTACGCATATGCACGGACGCGCCGAGTAGCAGCGCGCGTTGTTTCTGAGACGAAGTGTAGGTGGCAAAACTATGTCGCTCCAAAATCTTAATGACTTAAAAACAGCACACATGGTTACATGAGCACCCTGAAAAGTTGCTCAATGTGCACTGACAAAACATGGGATCATTACATCATGCAAAGGTAACACCACTAACGGAGGCCTATATGTACATTTTTATGGAGTAATACCTTTTGGTATAAAAGAAATAAACAATATTTCAGTACTAACAACAAAAAAATCGTCGGACACGTACAGCAATCAACGGTCTCGTGGGTGGGTACTTTGGATCGTTCAAGCGTTTGCTGGCAGCGCCACAGGTCAATTTTTGCTACTTTGAACGAACAAATAAAATATACATTTACATCTCGCACATACAAAAAACAGGGTTGGTTTGAGTCAACCTAGAACAATTTTTACATCAACAGAGTCATCTCATTTCATGTTCTGGGCTGTTGCCAGCCCCTCTTAAGATCTAATAGTGAAACTATTGTGGTGTGGCTATTAACCTTGAATGGGAATGACTGGTAATAAACAGACCTGTCTAATCTTCATTTCCTTTACTACCAAAATTTTGGAGGCAGTGTTATATTTCACCTGTGGAGCTTTTCAAGCAACTATTTTTTTTCAACATACACTTGGGATCACTGCAAATATGTAACATTTGTAACGCAATGTTCTGCTGAAAGTGATCAACTTTGGAGGTCTTGAAAGTGGTCTAAGCCAAAGTCTACTCAAGTCCACGTAGCTACCCATTGAGCCCACACTGGCTGAACAGCTTTACACATCAAACTTGTAGTGCCCTCTGGTAACTTTTATAGCAAACTATATGCCACACAGCTTGCTCAGAAGTGCACATGACACCTGTTGTCTAACCATACTTTGTCCAGCCTTGACATCAGAGAATTTTATTTTGTCTATGTAACTTGTTACCATTTAAAGGTCACTTCACAAGATGCAGTGACATGGGCAACACTGCAGGCAGTGCTGCTTTGCGAAGTCAGATTTACATACTACCTTCTGCAGCAAATATCTAGGCAACGGTAAAATCACTGATGCTCCCACTGTGACTGTACTTTTTCTTAATTCTCTTCATTAAGAACTCTCGTGCTAAGACAAGCATTGTGGTTGAACAGAACACCATGAAGTGGTGCTACCAACCCTGCTTTCGCCTACCTGTGCTTCCAGTGCAGTCAAATTTCATAATCAGTAACACTGTAGACTGGCTGAAGCTCTCTAATAGCAGTGTACCATCGTCAAAATTAATGCACTAGACAGAAAACATGCCAAAAAATTGCGCAGCAAATGTGCTATCACATTTCACATGGCGTTGCAAGACATCTCAAGACGTTTTGCAGAGCCCGCGTACAGAGTGCTTAATGGCAGTCACTGGGCAATTCAAGCAGGCATGATTCACGTGTCTTCAATGTCCTGCTGAGGGAGGTGTCGCAAGACAGACAGAGCGCACAGTCTCTGGAGGTCACTTGATGACGTTATGCGCATCATTTCGATCACAGCAGATGGGTGGCAATGTTTGAGATGACAAATTCATTCCCTTGACGAACACTTTGCACAAAAATGACCACATTTTGTACCATTTCACACTTTTTTTGCCTAGTCAGAGATGTATGAAACAGAACATGACATGCTGAAGTTCCATGCTTTTTGTGCCACTAGGCCATTTGAATTATCTACTTTAAGAAAAGAGTACTACAGCAGTATTCAATTTTTTTCTCCCTCCAGCATTACTTGCAAGAAAAAAGGAAATCACGATATGATTTATCATATCAGATAGTTTAAGATGAAGATAGCTGAAGGGCAAGTTTGAATAGCAGTGAGAAATTTTTTCCTCGGGAGTGTAGGAGTCGTATATGCTCCTGCACCACGTATGTTGTATTAGTGAAGATGGCAAAAAAGCACTAATCCTTCAATCACTCTCATACCTCACACCTTGAGCTAGTCGTGAGTAGAATGTTTGTTATTCAGGCGATATTAGGGGCTCTAAAATTATCCAAGCTTGATGTACTTGGATCACTGCATTTCATTGAGTGAGCACTCCACCATATGAACAAAGGGGACGCAGTCAGCAAATTTAAAGTAGTGCCCTTCTGATCAGTAATAACTGAGTTGTGCTGGAACGTATATGGTAGCCAGAGATGCGGCAGAGCCTAAACTACTCATGAAGGAAGGAAGAAAAATAACTATTTCGTCCTACGAGGCCCATATCTCTCTCAACTGTTCGTAACGGTACATGCTTTGCGGGGCAATGAAAAATATTTTCGAGCGACTTAAAAATGTAAGACGCCGTCTTCTGTGTATCCAGACCGTGTATAAGATGTACAATACATACTGCTATATCCCGTTTCCACTGTGGCAATGTCTTCCTTTTCAACTCAAACATTTGCTACATTGATCTTGGGTAGAAATATTGTGCGCTCGCGTGCTAGAAAAGCACATGTGCGTAGTCGTTTCAAAGTGAGTATTGGAGACCAACAACCAAGCCCTGTAAGCTCTGCAAATAAGACGCCTCGTGATGGCCTGCCAAAAGCTAATGGAGATGCCAATGGGTGTCAGTAGTGAAAACGGAAGCAAAATAAATGTCACATCAAAGGTACATGGTCACTGACTGTTCTGGGCAAAACATCCTCGTCATCTAACCTAATGCGATATCATCATTCTTTCTGAATTAGAGAAAATGTTGCTGGAACATTGCCCTGTAGAAGTTTTAATGGAAGTGTAATATCCCACGTTATGCTCAAAATGAGCTTTCTATAAGGGCTACAATGCTAAGGATATGTTAAATCTCTAACAGTTTCATCAAAATGCAAAAAATTGTCACTACACCTTCTATTCACCGGTCATTTCTTGCATATTTTATGTTTCATCTATCAAACAACACTGGCCATGATACTATATCAGTATCAGAGAAATGACGGTTTATTTGGGGAACAACTTCCTGGGACCTTCCCAAACCTTGATGTACGCCGAGTGATCAAGCAGTTGCTCTTTTGTCACTAGAGAGGGCTGACTAGACAGTAGATCTGCAACTACGCCCCTGAAAACTTGTAACTTCACTCTGCTATACCTCTAATGGTAGCAGGCCCGAGTGCTGCATTAGTGGTGTGTTGTTACTGCATTATGTGCTATCATTTTCCAGATATTGAGAAAGATCTGTTGAGACCACGTTGATGCACACACCTGGCGAGTGGAGATCGCTTGGTTCACCGGCTTACACAACAATGACATTTCAATCATGTGCATTGCTTACGTTTTGCTACTTCACCCATTGTAGGCAAACATTCTGCAAACTCGACTTCTTGTTACGCATCTCCGTGACAGAACTGAACTGACAACCTTGAAACAGAGTTTCAAGATTGACGGAGCCTGTATATCTAGAATAGCTGAAATAAGGTCTTGTAGCATTTAAAACTTGGAAACATAACTGTCTCGCTGGGTGCCCTCCTTACCAGATGAACCACCACTGAACTCGCGACCGTGTCAGATTTAGCCGAGCAATGCATTCACACTGTCAGTTCAAAATTCTAGATCTAGTTCAGTGACAATCCTCCCCAAGGACCATGTGCTTCAGAACCGTGGAAGAACGTCTAGTCATAGACTTGAAACATGCATTGTACCAGACTGAAATGCACACGTTTGTCGCGACATCTCACAATAACAAGCGCACAAAAGTCATGCAGCTTGCCACACTTACATTACGACAGATCTTGTGCGGTCAAAATTCAATAAAAGTCGGTGTTTCTTCAACAACAATATAAGCATGCAATATATTCAGTTATCAGTCTTTCACATGTCCATTAGTCGAGTCAGCTTGCATCTGGTATTAACAAAAAGCACAATAGGGTGCACAATTTCCAAACTTTTCAAGAAGCAAGCGTCCATATGTAAATGCATCATGACAGTACCATCAAATAAAGCTCAGTTCTTACGTCAAAAAGGGTATTCTATGCCGCTCCGCATAAAAAGATGCTCACTAGACGGCACAGCACTTAAACTTCACAGTTGACACCTTGCGTCACTGTTGTGGTCTGTTGGCAAGGAGGTCGCAACTTGGCTAGACATAGAACAGAGACGAGACAAGTCATTACATAATCACTCAAGCCGAAAAACTGGCCATGTGCAGTTGGTGACGTTCCACTCTGCCAGTGACTCCTGACGCGTGGCACTTTCCGATCAACACAGTAATGGGGATCGACAAAGTCGAAACGAGCATCCGGCGCAACCAAACTCTAGACCCAGCCGCCGAGAAAAAGAAAGGATGAAAAAAAAAAACGGGAAGAAATCGCGCTACTTCGACGTGACTCGTCGCTTTTCCTGCATCTTTGCTGCGGCTTTCTTCTTCATTATTTGCAGCCGCTTGTCCGCAGACATAAGTAGAGATGAGGATGCCGACTTCCCATTGCCGCCCGCGGTGCTCACAGGGACGAGTGTCGGCGGCGATGGGCCAGAGGAGCTCGATGATGAGGAACTGCCGTTGCCCCCGTTGTTTCCTCGGGAGGATCCGGCGGAACAGGAAGAGCCAGACTTTATGGCGGTGGCGGCTGCGGCTAGGCTTGAGAGATTCTGGAATGCGGTGGAGGGCAGCGGCTTCTGTGGCTGTGCGGCAGAACCCATCGGCTTCAGTGGCTTCGGCTTGCTCAGGTTTGCGGCAAGACCCGCCAGTCCGATGGGCTTGTTTGGGCCGGCGGAGGAAGACAGTGCAGGAACCTGGATGCCGAAGAATGGTGGGAATCAAGTTGGTGATGTGTGAGTGCAAAGTCAGACCATTTAGTCAGGCACTTAACATTTCCACAAACAGATGCAGCTGCAGAATCACAGCAAGACGGGTGACACAAGGCAACATATTAGCAGCACTCACTTTTAGACTAGTTGGTGCATATTTTGTATTGAAACTAAACTGCACGCCAAAAGCATAAACATACAAAAACACAAATGAACATATACGCAGGACAGGCGCTCTCCTCTGTTTGTTCATACTGTCAGTGTGTTTGTGTTCCTGCGTGTTTATGTTTTTGGCATCAAGTTTACTATCAATACAAAGCACATATTTGTGATTCAATTTCACTCATTTCCCAAATGCTTTTCTCTAGCTGCTCTCCATTGCGAATTGGGATTACAAACTGGAAGTTGCTAGGTGCTGTTTGGCAAGGGTTTTGCTGAAATAACTTTTCAGTAGGTCGTTCAGTCGTTTTCCTTGGTTTTTTACATCTTCAAAATACGATATAACTATGAGAGATGATGATTATAAAAACTCCAAGTGGCTGAAACTTCAGAAGCCCTCCACTATGGCGTCTCATAATCATATTGCTATGTCCAGTGCATGGAGACGAAGAAGAAAAGTATATAGACTGGCGCGAGCTAATCACTGTGGCTGGTCTCATGGCGATAGGCAGGACGTGCATGGAAGTGACCAGAGGAGGCTTGTGCAGGAGGACCCCAGCGACTTCTGCAATGGCGAGAAATGTACCCGATTCGGTGACACGAGAAGAAGATCGGCTTGTCATTATGTGTTCGCCACGCGGACGGATTACGGAACGTTGTGGCAGAGCCGGTCGGAAAGGGGCGTGCAGGCATGTATTGGGGCTGGAAGTCGGTGCGGGGAGGTGGTGAAATAGAGTGAATTCCCAGGCTGGCGATTTCCTGCCGGACAACTGCTTGAATGAGGGGCAACGTAATTGTAGGAGAGGGATCAGGGGACGTTGGTCCCACTGATCCCTCTCCTACATCTTGCTTTGTATCGATATGTGTGATATTAGCTGGAGCAGTGCCAGCCAATATCATAATTTTGGGATGTGAAACACCACAAATTATTAGATGTAAAGCAGCTTATGGAGGAGTTCAGTGCGGTGGTGTGCTGCATAACTGCCCTCACTGCGTATGCGCGTCCCCTTCTCCTCCTACGCTCTCCCGCCTCGCAACAGCTACAACTGCTAGTCTAAGCTCGCTTCCCCTCTCTCCCCTCTGGGCATCCCTCCCCGCGGTGTTTACAGCCCCGTCGAGTATGCGCGCACTTCCCCTCCTCTCCTATGCTCCCCTCTCTCTCGCCTGGCGACGCCGACGCAGCTAGAGTCTGCTAGCACGTTTCTTGATTGAAAAGCACTGACTGCTCGCGCTGCACAACTGTTCACTGGCTATCCCAATATATATAGGCACTCGATCTTTACCTCTAAAATAGTGCCGATGGGAGATTTCTACTGCCTGTTGTTGAAGAATAAAAATTCGTGGCGTACACATTAACTAGAAGCGTCTCATTGCCCATTAGCAGCGATTGGCATGTTCCAGTAGAAAAACTGGTCCACCACAGTGTGCTTCGCCCCTCCCGAGGTTCCTCTCCTGCGCAATGCTGCGGTTAGCGCCAGCGTCAACGCTGTCGCCAGTGTAAGCATTAGCGCCCACTGTTTCGCATCTACAAATGGTTCCCTTCAGAGGGAGCTGGTCTAATTTTTTTATTATTGTCTATTCCAAGTGCTATAGGCCAGAGCCTTTAACTATTCCAATGCTCAAAAGTGTGGCCTTCTCTGAGCGTTTGTGCAGCAGCTGTTTATTGGTAGGCGTTAGGTTATAGACCTGCTAGCGATAGCTCACCTTCAACTCGGCGCGCTTGAATGGCTGAGACGTCAGTGGCGGAGGCGTGTCCGGTTTGCTCGGTGGTGTCAATTCTCGTGGAACACCAAAGGGCACCTTTGATGGTGGCTTGGGAGGCTTAATGGTCTGGAGGGAGCACATTTATTAATAAAAATACATCTAAACAACAATAAAAAATAAAAACGGAGAGATGTGTTTCTAGTTTGCCGGACTTTCTGTAAAACAGATGAAATATTAAGCTGTACCACACAAGTAGCTCCATGAAAAATATCTTGAAGGGCAAATAACCAGAGCAGATTCGGAGCACAAAAATTGCTTAATTTCCGAGAGATTCGGAGCACAAAAATTGCTTAATTAACTCCCTAACTGATTTGGACGAGTAGAACTTTACCTAGTGGAATAAGTACTCCCCTCTAGCGTTCAGGCATAAAGGCACACATTTATGGCTTATATTGCCTGTCATCCATTAGATCGCAGCATTTGCTCGAGAATTTAGTTTTCTCTTGCGGCAGGAGCATTGTTTTTTGTAGGAAAGACAGTGTGCGGTGGCAGCGACCCATTGATAGCTGGCCCATAAATACGAGAAAGAAGCTATTCACTTTGGTCATCTTCTTCGAGTGAGGATGATTTGAGTACAGATATTTATCTTGTGTCCGAAGTGAAAACAGCAATGACGGTCAATTGAGTAGCTCCGCCGGTAATGACGAAGACAGCTCGGACGGGAACATTGCGAAGGCCTACCAGTGAAGCCGCTTTGCGTTTTTCTGTGTTTTGAAATTTTCCACGCAGCCCCGAAGCTTCTCGAGTGAAATACCCCAAGGGTTCTTAGCCTACTCAAGTGAAAAAAGATGTGGCATCTGTAACTGTTTGGCTTATAATGTTTTCAAATTTTATTAGCAGCGGGTAGCTGGTATCTTATCTATTGTTCCGAAATACTATACTTTATTCTGTTGGTATGACCAAGTGTTTAGTAAATATTTTTTCAACATTCACTCGCTACTTTTTAGTACAATCAGATTTGAAATCGGTATTTAAAGAAATAAGCACTCTTTGACCGGAAATTTTCAATAAAAAAAAAAGAGCAGGTAAGGGGTTAAAGCTGAAAAGGTGTACCACAATTTTCTATACTGGGTAAAGGGACAAAATTTGCTGTGAAGAAGTAATCAGTGGGGAAGGACGTGTTTCCAGTCTAACTTTAACATTAATGAAGCTTTCTTTTGTGCTACTGCAAAAAAATCAGTGATCATTGTAATCACAGAATTTCACCCTGTGTTATGGGTGAAAATGGGAATTTCCTGGCCACTGTAACATCTGTAACAACACACTAGGATCACATACAACTCATTTGATGTTACGTCACTATACTACGATTGGTTACTTTGGCGCTATGTGTTTCCATGTGGGCATTTGTATTCACTTTGCTGTGTGGCTGTGCAACGTGGGCTGCACATGTTATCTAAATTCTTAATAGCAACTTTTATTCTCTGACCTTAACCTCTGAACAGAGGTCGCTGCTGCACTAGCTACATTAAACGAAGCACTTGCCCCGTGGCCCTCGGACCCAAGGGTGTTGACAAGGCATTCATGCCAACGCCATATGCTCATAATTTTGTCACTACGACAACTTGCCATTTATTCTCATCACACACATTTCGCGTCACTCCTTTAGAGAGGACAGAATTATAGGCCCATATACAGCCACTTAACACAATCATTTTTCACATTCGATTTCATGTGCTGGCGCTCTTTTGCCATCGAATGGCCCTTGCCCTATTAAACAACATGAGTCATCGACTCTTGTACACAACTTTAACTGTTTCAGTGGTGTTTCTCAACACCGAAATGCAACAGAAGAAGTGTAAAAACACAAAATAACAATTAGCAGTAGCTCTAGTAATTTTTTTAGGCATTGCAGGTCCTTCTTCTCAATTCGGGCGAACCTGCTGATGAGCAGAAAGTTGGCGTTGTTGAAACTTTACATCGGGATCTTGCAGGAATTTTTTAAAATCATTAATGGTAGTGACTTACCATTTTCTTCATGTTCTTCGTGCACCGGGCGCAGTACCATACAAGGCGGGGGTCGTTGACATCATAGTCTGTGGCTGGCGGTCTATGGCACTCCTATATTTTTATAAAGGAACGAAACAACTGAATGTCTCTGCCTTCCCAAACCAACACAGATTCAGCTCCATAATGACTGTGATCGCCCAATACGTCAGAGCTCGCTTCCCAACTTTTAAACAAGGAGGGTCCCTATTCTTTTCTTTAAGTCGCTAGGCAAGCTCCTCAGGAAAAATGTGCTATGGCCCAGTAAAATGTAGCCATCATTCAAAAATCAAACTTGCGATTTTGCAACTGCACAAAGAACAGGGTACAAACAGTTTCTAGAGAGTTGGTCAGTTTACAAGTCTGCATGCAAACAATGCCTTGAGCTTGACTCACCTGGTGATAGAGACAGTGGCACTCCTGGCATTCAATCAGCTGATTCTTGGCAGTTACGTCTTGTTGGCTGCAAAAGGCAAACGGAACAGGGCCTTCAAGTGAAACGCAGCATAGTGATGCCTTCAAGCTTTCTCAAAGGGGCTGCTTTATGTTCCTCCGGCATAAAAAACCTAAAGGCGCTTTAAAGGGCCCCTCTGACACTTTAAAAAAGATTGGTGCTGACTGTATAACTGGTAGCGGTGCTCGCCAGGGCTGTTGCGAGCGGAAATGGAGACGCAGGGTGCAGACCTATGATTGGATGAATGTGACAATAAAAGCAATCGTGGCATTGTATCAAAATAGGGATTGCTATTGGATTTATTTTTTCTTTAGCACCATTTTTCACTGAACACAGAAAAGAATAAAGCTCTCTGACTTTTTCAGCTTGAAAACAGCAAAGCTCATCAAAGAATGTGCCAAATGCCACGGTGCTGGAAGAAACGCTTCGAGGACGCTCCAGGTGTCGTGGTTTGAAAAAACTTAAAAAAACAACAACTTGTAGGAGCGTTGATATATAAACGCCATCACAAAAAGAAAGAGCAGTAAAGCTACAAAACATTATAGAAGCATTCGCGAGCTGCCTCGTTTCGCACGCCTCATTCCCTCTTCAAGTATCACATTATTTGTTACCGTTGCAATGGCGTCCTCAACACGTTAGACACTACGGGCATATGGCATCATGCAAGCTTTCTCTATGGTAGGGCTTTCAGTTTACTCCATTAGGCAGCTTTCCGACGTCACAGGGTGAGGGAAACACGGTCAAGTGAGCGTGTGAAAATCGAGTTGACGGTAAGCATCCATTTCATTGTATTTTGATATCTCTACGCTGAATAACTTTGCACTGCATGCTTATATCGCTGCTGTTCTTGTGCAACTAGCTAGAAACGCAACTAGCTAGAAAAAACATGTAAAACAATAAGGTCGTGAAATGTGTTAGAGGGCCCCTTTAAGCCTATCAAGCCAAAGGAAATTCAGACCTCAGTAGGCCAATGAAACCAAAGGCCTCAACAACCCTGAGGTTAGGGCTCAATTGACATAGCTCAGTAGTCAAGGACTGATACTCAGTACCAATGCCTTTCCCGATGCCCATTCATGCTTTAGGGTCTGTGTTTGTGGTCATAGCTGTGGTCCATTCAAGCTATCAACTGGTGAGCGGTGGAATGAACAGCAACTTCCTCGGTTGCCGTATGGACTGTCATATCACTGACTACCTTTATCATAGAAGCGACCGCAAACTGTGCTTCTATTCCCTGGATGCAGGTGTACACTGATTTTTTTATTGACTAATTGACTGACTGATTGATTTAACAGCGAAGCAACAGACGGACTGAAAAGGAGGATTCAGGATTAATTTTGCCAGTGCAGCTTATCAATCTGAATATAAATCTACAATGTAATTTATTGCATTTGTCCTTGATCATATACGGCAGGGAATCAACAAAACCAAAAAACAGAAGAGCAGCAGTGATTAGGTGCAGCGTGAAACGTACTGTTTCCTCGCGAGGTTGGCAATCGAACGGTGCCACCAAAGTGCTGTGGAAGTGCGGACACAATGCTTACCACTTCTGGTGATGTCTAGAAGACGATTGAGGAAAGAATAGAATGGCATGTTAGAATAAAGAAAAACCAAACAGCACAAAAACGTGAGCACATACACTCTCCATGCTCGCTGTAGTGCCTCTCCCTTACAAGACCTGAAATTTAGGCAAGTTTGTACGAATTCATGTAGAACAAGCAGTGCAAAAACAAGGGTTGATGTGAGCCCATTTGAAAGACGCTTCAGTGTTGTATCGAAACTACAACAAGGTGACAGGAGAAGCAGTAGAGTGTTTATATATTCAACAAAATGGCTCCACGTGTATGAGCCAAATTTCTTTGAATTTTCATCCCTGTGAATTGGCTTTTCTTACAGATAATCTGGTACCTTCTGCTTTCTTAGGATGAAGACTTGAGTTTGAACACGCATCAAACAACTTGAAGCTTTTAGTTTATAGGATATTTTTTAAGAACTAAGGTGTTTTTTCATGTTGTAGTGCACACACTATTGTTTTTAGCATCGAATGTGGCGTCCTTCTGTGATGACGTACTTTTAGGATCAGCGTGCATTGATAAAAACGGCATGGATTTCTATGAATAAACTTCAGTTTCATGTTAGCTCTTGTCTAGTATTTCTGTTCATTGTTACACTCTAAGGCAAAAGGGGCTTTTTGTCCTTTCGTACTACTTTTTCAACATGAAGTCTCTCTGTACATTTGCTGGTATTATGAAGGTACCTGAAGCAAGGTGCTAGACCAGAGATGGCTTGTACAAAATGGATAAAAAGCGATTCGATGCTCACTTGCACATCACACACACTTGGCCCATGTCCACGGTGAAGTCTTCTCCATCGCTACTCGAGTCTGGAGATGAGGATGAGGCGAGACGACTCGCAGGAGAGGCAGACTGAGACGAGGCTAGCTGCGGTGACTCTGTGCGGGCACGCTTGGATTCTAACAAACCGCTCACCTGTACAAAAAAAAAAATAGACAATGGGTTTCAGATTTGTTCGTGCATACGTGTTCACACTTGGAACACGAACATCTGATGAAAGATCAATCTGGTTGGGGAAGGTGCTTCATTAGATATGTTGTGTATTGTGTGTCGTGGGTTTTATGTAAGCTTGCCAACACACGTCCTGAGCAGAGGGATGCTATGACATACGAGAGTCAAATAAACGTAATGCTATTGAACATATATTTTGGTGTCCTTTCTCACCCTGCTCATGCATGCATATGAATTGAGCACGGCATTTTCGCAAGAACGGGACCCAAGATGCCTCCATTCTGCATAAGAAACCAATCGCTAAATGCAAGCAAGATGACTGACCATACTGGCTCCTAACTAATACAGCCACGTCTTCTATTGCCAGCTTTAGAATGCCGTAGCATGTTAATTCACCGAACTGCTTGCCTCTAAGACAGGCGATGGGGTGTCTGGTTTAATGGCCGAGATGGGGAGAGGAGGCGGCTTGCACTCTAAAGGTGGTGGGTCTTTCCGCCTTGGCTCGTCAGTGGATAGGCTACGGATAGCTGACAGGGCAGGTGGGCCTCCATTGTTGCCAGCTCCGGCCTCTTGCTTGGGCGACTGCCGCCGCCCCAGTAGGTGAGCTCTGCCATCACTTTCCTGCAATTAGAGGGAAAAGGGGGCATGTCTCCGGATACGAGCATGTACACATACTGCAAAAACAAGGCAGTAGTAAAAAAGAAAAATAATGATGCTCCTAGTGAGCATACGCGAAGCATGGAGAGGGACAGAGAGAGGACCAGAGGTTTGTTGAACCAGCACAACAAAACAAGAGATCCGACTCATTTCCGATCCGAAACTTCTCTGCCGGGAATGTTGTGCTCGTGCATATGCCATAAGCTTGAATTGTTTATTCTGCTCTTCTGCGTGCCAGTTCTTCAGGCCCTTTTTAAATTTGTTGAAAGGGTACTCCGCATGAAAGGCAGGGAGGATAACATGCAAGCAGAATCGCTTCAGGGATGCGGAAAAGAAGAGAAATAATATCTGCCTGCATAATACAGTTTTCTACCCAGTTCAAAAGGTTTTAAAAAACATGCATTGCCCCCAGTGCACATTTTATTTTTGTGTTCAATGATTAAACGAAACAGGTTGAGGCATGCATTAAGTATGTCTCAATCGAGCAGGCCGTGCCAGCAATTGAGAAGGTGGTGTGCAAGGGGCCAAATTACGCTATTGGGGTCTACTCTTGAAGGCGAAGCTCAAGCGTACTTCAAGTTTCCTTAGGTTCCTGGCCCCTTCAGAAGACAATGTACTTCATTTTTACTCATTAGAAATTATGGAGGCCCTACAGTAGACGCCGTCAAAATCTATGACACCGACGCGATTGGTGCGGCACTACAAGAAGATGTTGCCACCCGCACTTTCGCGTTTTGTCACTTGCCCAGTGTCGTCGTGCAGCAAGCATGGTGTTCTCGGTATCGTGAAAAAGAAATTTACTAATACGAGAAAAACCATAGACAGCCAAGGACAATACTGACCAGTTTGATTGTGGTGAGTAGCGTCTTGGTGTCCCTCCCCGTAGAGGTTCCACTGGCACTCTGGCGTTGGACGAGTGTGTCTTCGATGAGCTGTCGCAGCTGTTCGGCCGAATCCTTCGCCTTCGAATGCAACAGTCGCAGGGCCTTGAGGAACAGCGGATCCAACTCTAACTGAGCCATGGCGTTGACTGTTTCACCCAGAGAAACCAAGAGACAGCAGTGTACTCTCCTGCCTGGATGAAAGAGAGACAGGCAGAGCATTAAATTGAACATGCTGTCACCATGCGCCAGCAATTTGTGGCCCCACTTCAAAGGGCAAGGTGGGTCATAGGTTCATGAGAGCTTCAATGTGTACATTCTTCAAGTCGTGGTATTGAAACATTGCACATATGTCACATGTTCACACTGAATACGAGGTAAGTTGCTTGAAATGTGAGAGAAAGTGTCATGAAAAGCTCACAAAAATAGCTGTCTTCGACACTAAAGTGCAGGGCTACCCCTAGGGTGGCAAATAGAAGAAAACGATAATGTGCACAACACATCTTAATTGCTCCTTCCATCATATTTCAATTGTCTGGCTGATATTGAAAAATTATATATAAGGTCTATTCAACTGTTTCCGCACTTGTGTAAGTGCATAAACGAAAATTCGAGAACGCTTGAATTCGCCTTGAAGAAAGATCGCGATAGCGTAAGCGGACCTCATGCGCATCGTCTTATGATCTGCTAGACTGCTTCGGTTCTTGGTGAATACCCCAACAATCCCGTAAGGTAACCAACGAATTTGGACCTAACATTGGCCGTTTCAAAGTATCATTGAATGCCTACTGCAAGCAATGTTGTTAAGTGCCCACTACACCATAATTATTCCTTTTGTGTATCTGCAAAGGGCCTGCTATGCCAACCTATGCAACTGCTCACTTTCTTGGTAGTTCTGCTGCTGATGATGATTAAATGTGTGTGAGCGATCTGTAATGGGTGGACCTATAAAACACCCACTCGCTGTTCAGTTAACATGTTTTGATGCCTGGCACGATTTTACGCTTTGCTAAGAAAACTCTTTCCTCTGCACTACATTCATATACGTTTTTTTCCAAAGCAGTTTGAACAAATCTTGTGTCTCTGTGGTAGAACATTTGCTTGCCACTCAGACGGCCAGGATTCGATCCTCACTTGGACCTAAAAATTTTTATTATTTATTTTAGTAGCATAATTATAGATTCCTTAGTCGTGGGCAACATGATGATCTTTAGCCCACAACAAATGATGCCGAAGCCGATGATGGAATTTCCTCGAACCCAGTTCTTTAATGCTGTCACATTAATAGCTCCTTGAATTTTGCCTTCATGTTCCTAAAAAAAAATCACTCTATTTTTATCTTCCACTGCATCTGATCATCAAATGTATCGGCAAGAGTGACCCTGATTGGGCAGAGAGAATCTGCCTTTCAACCTAGGCAATGTTTGTCCAAATAAACTGAATTTAATATAATTGACATGGGCCAATGTCAATTGATAGCACACTGTGAATTAGTTTCTGAAATACATAAAGAGTTGATTAGACCTCATATATTCATTATCACGGAAACAATTTCATTACGAAATGGACAAATAAACAGCTGCACTTCTTTTTTTTTTCTGAAAGCATGCATGTGGGCCAGTTACAAGGAAGAAAATCCTCCCTTCTTTTATTTTTTTCAAACGCTTGATACAAATTATACAAAAAGAAAACGTGCCATTTCATTAAAAGAAGACATCAAAATCAGCAATTAATGCCAGAAAAGTTGTGTTCATTAACCAAAACTCTCTCAAAGAGGCGAAAATGAGAATGCCACAAGGTAATGAATAATAATAATAATAATAATAATAATAATAATAATAATAATAATAATAATAATAATAATAATATAATAATAATAATATCGCTGTCAGTTAATAAAAATTCATACTTCGCAGCTGCAGGATCACCTGTGAGAATAAACGAACATCACGCTCACACAAAAAAAAAAAATTAGCGCGAAATTGGAAAAAAAAAAAAAACTATGTTAAAGGGCGGCCGGAGGAGCGCCGCGCTACAGTGTAGCCGCGCGAGAGAGGCGCGAGGATGGACGGATGAGAGGAGGTGAAGGACGCCATGGCTCATGGCCGCCGCCCGGCCATTGAGAAGGGGGAGAGAAAAAAAAGACTGCCACAAGCCGTGACGGGCCGCACTTACGTTGCTGATGGGAAGAAACGAATTTGCCGGACTTTCCTACGTTTATTCGGGGGCTCAGAGCTAGTCTGAGACCCCTGCGATACGGTTTTTTCGGCAATTTTTTGCGGAGCTCCGTCGCTTTCGACTTGTCGGCGCTTTGACGATGCCGATTGCGGTGCGACCGCCATAAAAAAGTTGAACGGCCATGGGAAAGCCCCGCTGGGGCGCAGGTTACGTTGAAATGATGCGCGTTGAAGCAATATTAGGAGCCTGGCCAAGCTCAGTGCTTTGTTAAGCACGCAAGAGGAATTTTTACGCGGTACGAAGAAAAAGTATTTCATATAGACCTTTCAGAGAAACAATATCAGATGATTTCGTCTGCATGCAAAACTCGCTTTGATTCCTTAATATTTAGGTTACTCACAGCTATATTACAATTGCATAAACTACACTATGATTTTATAGTTTACCTAAGTAATAAAACTTGTACAAATTTGTTTGTTTTTTAATTTTGTTTTTTGTCATACGACCCTGCGGCGCCGGACGCGGCGACGGCCGATTCAACCAGCGGCGATGACGATATCTCGTCGAGTCTCGTTTTGTGCTCTCGTTCGCGTTGCCTGCTGCTGCTGCCGTTGTGGTGGTAGGCAGGTAGTGGTGGTGCTGGCCTGTGTGTGATATTTCGCTAACGCCATCGGTGAATCGGAACTCGACCCTCCTTCCCCCACCCTACGACAAGACGGCAGCGAGGAATTTTCGCTTTACTCCTCCTCACGGCACCATTCCCATGCCTCCAAAATGACTGTGGACTTCCGCGACTACTTCTGGGTACGTACTGCAGATTGCACCCAAAAACTGGACGCGTTCGCGCAGTTGTAAGCGGGACACTTCCCCGCGATGTGTCGGTCCGATCACCTCTGGCGATAGCGGCATCGTGTATGAAACGCCCGACGAGTCCGCATTCGCCTACGCCTAAACATTCGCCCGGCCAGCGAGTTCGGGCTGCGCGGTGACAAGCGTGGCGATTAATTTGTGTTCCTTGGCCTAGTCGCGAGCATTGGACGTTGAACAGTGGTGGTGTAGTTGCCGCGGGTACGCGCTTGCCATGCTTCGGGAGCGCCGTTTGAGAGGTTCATTTTTTTTCTTTACTTTCAGTCGCCTCGCGTCGTCGTCGATGCGTGTAGACTCATCCACACCGCCGCGATTCGAGGAGAGGGCCTTCTCGACGGGGAGGACGAAAGTGAGAAGTTGGCAACGGAAATATACATAAATGCACGCGTTAACTGCGCAAGAAGCGACGCGTCGGGCAAGAGCAAATCAAGAAAAAAGAAAGCTGCCGGACGTAATTTGTCGCTGGTTTGTAAAAACTAGAGGAGGCGCCGGTATACCCGAGGGATCTCGGGTTAGTCGAACGTTGTTTTCGTTTTCACGCTGGATTTTATGTTCGTGAGCACGGAAGCGTATGCTTCGAGTCGGCGATGACCAACGCGGAGCACAATCCGCAGTCGCGTTTTCGTGTGTGCAACTTGGTGGTCTTGTCGTACCGCACGCCGTGATCCGTGCTTGCACCGACGTCTCGTCGATGTGTGTTTTTGTTTTGGCCTGTCAGGTGGTCGACCTGTCGTTCGTGCTCGCGACTGACTTGGCTTGCTCGAGCCCTCCCTTTACCCCCTGCAGACAAGAGGTGCGCTGTTTCCCAAGCGCATGTGCGGGGTACATCGCGTCTCCACGCTTGGCGGCGGGTTTTTTTGCAGCAGCCGCGTGACTCAGTCTTCGGTTTAATGCCGATGCTTAGCTGTGAACGGGATAGTTTCTTTTTACCACGGTGACGCGGCGTTTGTCTCCTTTGATGCGGGCAATCCAGGCAGGGCTTTGAAAAGCGCCTGCAAAACAAAAGCGAAACTGCGCTACGAAGATATCGCCGCCCCTGTCCCGTCAAAGCGCGGCCCTGGTGTGAACAATTGCGTGTTGACTGGGTCGTTGTGCACGTCTAGAACGAAATGCGTGATGCCACACGTCGGCTGCTTACCGTCGCACGCACGATTAGCGCTATGCACGCATCCTGTGTGTGCGCGACCCGCGGTTTCGCAACGACGCCAAACAAGCCGCCACGTTTCACGCGTCGCATTGGAACACACACAACTCTGCGGTTCGTGACCGGAGACGGGGGTGGCTTAGACCGTCGTGGTTCGTTGAGCCGACGCTTGAGCGGACACGCGAGTTGCCGGCGCAACGCCTGCCTGGCACAAATGCGTAAAAAGTCGGGCTTGGTGATCGCCTCAAAAAATACGCGCTTTAATTACGAGTTGGAACGCTTATCCGTTCGTCGTCACTGATAGCTGACAGTGTAACTCCTTTGCTTACTACATCGTCGTCTCGCAACTGTTCGGAACGGGGCGGCTAGCGCGGCGATTTAGGGCTTGCGTCATGCGCTGCGCTGCTGAGTCAAGGCCTTCGTTATCGGCGACGCTGACCTCTTATTCCGCGTATAAAAGGGTATACGTGGTAGACGAAAAAAAAAAAAACACAACAAAATGACTCGGAGAAAGAGGCGTGCGTATGACGATGTCGACCGGACACCATCGCCGATTGCCTACTTTGCCTGCGTCCGTGCGTGATGCGTTGTTAGCTACGGCCGTGCGAATGAACAGAGCAGTCAACGATGCCGTCTCGACTGCGTACTAACGACGCTGCGCCTACGGCACGACGTCGCGAGAATGTCGATTTCCGCTCGCCCTACCCCCCTTCTCTCCACGGCCGTGTGACCGTTGGGAAGTGTTGTTGTTGTTGTTGCCCCTTCGCACTGGCACATACCCACTATGGGGGATTGGCCATGAAATCTAGAAGTATCCTATATGAGATATATTAAAAGGTTTATCCTTAATGAAAAAACTAATGATGTAATAGAAAATAATAATTAACTAAAAAGGAATATTAAACTAAACAAATAAATAAACAAAAAAATAAATAAACAAAAAACAAATAAACAAAAACAAAAAACAAATAAACAAAAAAACCTTTTCTCTTCTTGATTCAATCTTCATTTATTTGTTTTGGGAAGTGATTCGAAAGCCTTCTTCGTCTTCCATCGGGCGATTTAAAAAAAAAAAAAAAAGCGTTTTGAGCGCCGCCCGAGAGGAGCGGTGAAACCAATTACTGAGCGCGCTTTCGTAACCGGCGCGCTGCGGTAGCCTTTGTGCGCCGTACTGCGGCCGTGCTTGAAGCTAGCGTTGACCAGATTCCTCGCCCCCCTCCCTTCTGTTAGCGCAGATTGCATTTTCGTTGCGTTCGGCACACATGTTCGCGTGGCGCTGTCAGTTCTGCTATGCACACGCGCGCGGTATCGCTTGCCCGTTTTCCCTTCCTTTCATTTCGTCCCCCTTTCCTAGTGCATGGTAGCAAACCGAGTGTAACTTTGTTAACCTCTAACTCCGACTGAATTTCGACTTTGCTTTATGCAACGGCAAGTTTGGGTAGGCAAAATAATTGCGTTTAATCATTGTTTTAATTGTGTGTATGTTGTTAAGAACAGTGATCATAGCACACACTAAATGAGGAGAAAAATGAAGATGGCGTGTGGCATGAGGAGCATGGCTCTTTTTTTTTTTTTTGCTGGAATAAACCGCAGTGTTGAAAGGTGCTGCTAGAAGTTGTTCAGGTGTGTTGTCCTTAAACGTGGTTCATCTAGAACGAAGGTTTGGATTTTACATATGTCCTTCTGAAGGTAGTGCCTTAAAATTTAATCGGGAATTAAGTGTTTGAAGTAATTTGAATTCTCAGTGACCGTTCCTGCTTTGCTCCTGACATGTGTGTGTGTGTGTACTTGTAGCTTGGAGGGGGAAAGGCACAGCAAACAAGTGACATGCACAGAAAGAAAAAGTGGTCAAGAAAGGGCAGCACATGTCTAACTTGTTTCTCTCTGCATACATCACGTCTTATCGCTGCCATTCGTGTGACCTTTTCAACAAAGGGCTGGGCATTTTGTGCGAAGTACGTCTCTCCAACTGTTCAGAATCGTGCGCGACCACAAACACAGGCGAGCAATTCGTTTCTTGCTCAGATGCCTTCGAGGAACGTCGCTTTTCCTTGACCGATTGCGCCGAGCTGACCACTATCCGCCTTTATGGGCGGATAGTCGTAGGTGGAATCGGAGCAAGGTTGAGCCATTCATAATCTGGACGGTTCAAGCGCTGGCAGTGTGCCCAGAAAGCTCTTGACGGAAGAGGCCTAGAACCTTGCGTCAACAAGATAATGGGTCTAAAGGCAGAAACCTCCGTGACGCAACTTACTTGTTTTGCTCCGTGCATTGCACCTCAACTTTTCTGTTACGCCTTTTTTTTTAACCCGTGCCTGCTGACTTACATTTGCAATGATATGGTGTTTCAAAAGGGCTTTTCTAAGCGTCTATTGCGAACTCTTAGGTCCACAGATGACACATTGTGTGGTTGTCGAGCTTCCAAACTCCATGCTGTTGGCCAGTAATCAAATGAGGCTGAATAGGCTTCAAAAAAATGTGGATATGTGTGCTGAATCGGTAGTTTGTTCACTGAGAAGCACATGTGCATATAGAAAGTTATACTAGTGTAAGAGAACGAAGTTTGGGAGTCTGTTGCACAGGTTTCGTCGCGTTTTATTTTATTTATTATCACTTTCATTTTCACTCAGTGGTTGTAGAAAAAGAATCATGGTTGTGAGGGTGCACATGGTCTTGTCCTCCATGGATAGGAATGTGTTCATGTGTTTGTACAGGAACTGAAAGAACAGGGGGGGGGGGAATAAATGTTAAATAAAATTAGGCGTGACATCTTATACTGTCACAGCCTTGTCAATTATTGATATTTCTTGTTTCATGAATCTGTATTTCTCGGCCAATCACAATCAATGCTGGTCTTTTTGACAACGAAAAAAAAAAGGGAGATGCAGAGGCAGTACTGCCCTTTCTAAATATTGCATTCAAAGATGCCTCACTTGACGTCACATACACCGTAGTGATTCAGCGTGCTTGTATTATTTTTCTTTCAGAAAGGTGTTGCAGTAGTTGTCAGGCATGCATCAGCTACAGCCTGCCTAGTTAAGCCGCTGCTCTCACAAACAAAAAAAAATGTTTTTATTTCTCGATTGACTTTGATATAACTTGGTGAGCTTATGTATATATGTGTGTGCCAATTTTAAATATGCAATTATTTTTCTTGAAAAAAGGTGTGGTTTTAAAATACAAGATATTTCATGTGCCTTTTGGGGAGCGAGATTTTTCGAAACTAGGAGAGCTACAAAGTAAACTAGCATATTACAATAATCTGGTATCGGGTCTGCATGCAATAAAAAAAAATGAATGTTCTAAATAAATTTGAACAAATGTTATGGCAAGTTGAACATTTAAAGTGAGTCAACTTGAAGCCAGGGTTTCACTGGGGAGTGTTCAACATTTCATAACTTTTCTTTTAGTGGGTTTAGAACATTCATTTTTGTTTTATTGCAATCAGATTTGATTTCAGATTATTGTATTGCTGATTTACTTTGTAAATTTTTTAGATTAGACAAAAACTTGCTCCCCAAGGGGCACAAGAAATATTTAGTATTTTAAAAAGTGCACTTCATACAAGCAAAATAATTGCATATTTAAAATCAGCACACAAATATACACACACTTGCCAGGTGTCGTCAAAATTTATCAAGAAATAAAAAGATTTTTCGAGTTACCTGTCCCCTCATAAAACAGTTGGACTAAAAAAGTGCCGACGTGACACATGCTGATAATATATATTTATTTGCATGATAGACCATGCGATAAATATACCTCTGGTATATATAGACCATGTGTCTCTATA